TTGGGCGAAACGAAGGCGCATACTCGTATTGCAGCGTAGAGGAAGCGGATACTCCGGACATTCCACTAACCGCATCAATAACGAATAAACTGAATGCACCTATCAGCTGACTATGACGAGGAAGTTTTAGTGGAAGAAATGGATGAGCTCGAGTATGATGGGCTGAAAAACTTGGCCGGCTTTGTTTGCCATAAATTGCAGGATGAGAGGTTGAATCTCATGTCCAAATTTTCAGATATGCGATGAACCGCACTTTTTTAAATGCCTACTGTCTGCTAGCTCGCGCACTTTCAGTCGACGATCATTCAGTACCGCTTTGTGAATTTTCTTCACCATTTCTGCAGTCGTCACCTCATTTGGTCGACCACTGAGATGCTCGTCTTGGCAGCTCATACGGCCTCGTTTAAACACTGCTACCCAATATTTTACTGTTGTAAACGAAGGAGCAGACTCACCCAGAGTAGAATCCAGTTCAGTTTTTATATTGGTTAGGCTCAGGCCTTTGAAATAAAAGTATTGTACCACATAACGATGACCAATTTTCTCCATTTTCACAAATTCACTGAAAACGTTCAATATTGATGGCTGCCAAACAAATACTAAACAACGTGGCGTCTTCAAACTTGACATATGCTTTATAGGTTGCATACTTATTCTAATACAATAATATTTTTCAAACAACTATCGCCATCTCTAGGTCAGGCCGGGTACTAGTGGGACCACCCTCGTAGGTGAAAATATGCACGTTATCCATATCAACTCAAATGATGAATCACTCTCCGTGTGACGTCATGCGCGTCGGAGGACGAAAATCGAACAGCGGAGCGTCCGGCACTCTAATAAATTATCATACTTTTTGTATAGCTCCAAAGACGTATAAAGGGCTATGGTTGACCTCCTTTTTTCAGTGTTTGATCTTTTTGGTGGGTTGTGAAAGGATAATGTGACCTCATTTGACACTTTGCATCATAGTAGTATTTCCCGAAAACTTTACTTTTCATTGAAGGCTCCATAAGGACGCCTGTAAATTTTTGGGTTCGCTTTCTACCATTTCGAATGTTGTCCGCATTGTGATGCCTATCGCCAATTGCGGTGTTTGAACAATATTCATGTTTTTTCCTTATTCAGTCACATCAGTAGCGTACATGTTTACAATACCCTGTATATTAGTAATGGGGACATTTTAGGCCTTTCATTAATCTTTTTTGTTTTTTTGGAATGTACTTTCCCCTCTAGAATTTTAAATAGCTCCGGTATAAAGCGATAGATTCTACTGGGCAAAAAATAGCTAGAATTTTCATTCGGAAAGGATTCGAGTTGTCCGTCGAAGAAACAGTGCCTTTCAGGCACACAAGCAGCGAGAAACTGGAAAAGTCGTCAAAAACGTTGCAAACTCCAAACTTTGAGCATCTACAAAACTAAACCATTCGACCTGGGTACATAGAGTATTATAAAAAAAAGTAAGCCCGATTTGAGACATGATTCACCAAGTATATTAGAGTCTCAGGCTTTGACCCAAATACAGTATTGATTCAAACATAAAAAATATGAATACGTACAATATTGATTTCATTTATTTAAATATGTATGTTGGTCTAGATTATCAATGTTCATTGTACATCTGATGTTTTTTTCCATAACTGATTAATGGATTACAAAAAGAAGCCTCATAAGTATCCCGTTGTATTTCCTAATGCGTCAGCCCTGTTATCATTCCGCCAAATTGGACAAATATTTTCTCAGTAACAGGCTCACGTGCCTGCCAATCAACCCGAAGATGTGGTAACTTTGCTTTCAAAGCACGTGCTTCTGATACCGAAATGAATAACAGCACATTGCCGTGCGGATGCGTAATTTCAAAAGTAACTGTATTCTTCTTTATATTTGAAAACCGCAACTGCGTAACCATATCTTCTAACTAATAATAATAATGAATTTCAGCTAGGCTTATTGTTGGTTGATGCCAAGAACAGCGAAACAGCTTACAATGCTTTTTGGAAAGCGCCCCTCAATTTATTTTTGAACTATAGTCAAATACCAGAATTGATGACAGTAGCAGAAGTCATACTGCTTTGACGCTGTACCTTTTGATTACAGCGACGTTTAACGACATTTCACAAAGAAGCGCCGCATTTTGGAAGGCCTCCGCGTAATAGCAGTGGCGTACGATGAGTTTCGCTATTGTCATCAATTATGGTATTTTATTATAGTCAAGTTATCGAGCTGAAATCCGCGATGATGAAAGTGTCACATGAATACTATATTTTAACGAAAAAATAACAGTTGAAAAATTTAAAATGCGGTTGGGCGCCATCTTGCGAATTTTTTTTTAAACTGAATGGGGAGTCAGCTGATTCAGCTTATTTTGAAGCTCCTTACGGATACTTTTTAACACCACCTCGTAGGAGACAAGGACACTCCCCACTACAAAAAGCTTGCTTATTTTGCGCCCAAATGCTGTATTCAATCGACTGTTCTCTTACACGTGATTTACTAACTTGAATAAAAATAGGTTATTATGAGCTCAGTATAATAGATACGCATATAGCCTCGTGGGCTTATTTGCGAGTACAATAAATATGTACTCCATTATTTTATAGACAGATTTTTTATACCTTATTTCAGCCAATTTACACAAAACATGAATGAATTATACACCCAAGCCTTCCCCATCAATCACTCTCTCTGTTTCGTATGAAAATCCGTTAGGTAGTTTTTGAGTTTGCGGTGGGAAACTGTTATGTGTAGTGATTTAATAGTGTACTCAAGATAGTATAGGTCTTGAATATTATTTAATGTATTTAAATTTGGTTAACTTGCCACGCCTCCAAACCAAGTTATAATACAATTTTCCATGTAATGCAATTGCATCAAAAAGAAGGGTTTGTAAACTATTTGGGCTTCTCATGAAAAAAGTCCTCAGCAGCAATGAGCGTGTCCGTACAGTGTAGCCTCATTTCTTTGGAGCTCTGGTGTAAAACTATTCGTCAACAATGTTTGATATCTGATTATACTAGCTCTTGAACGTACTTACATACTATATAATATTATTTCACGAATCAAGTAACCTCCACGGATAATGCTCATGTATATACCGCGCCCACCTCGTACGTGCATATCGCGTCACTGCGCGGCCCGGATCCCCTACCAAATGCAATTTAAAACACCGGGGCGCACGGCAAGTGCGACCAATAGGTACGCAATCCGCCAGCTAAAAAGTGTCAAGGGCAAATATACAGGGAAATCTATTATTTGTGAAATATGTCTAATAGGTGCATAGAATTACCGCGGTTTTGAGTGTATTAATAAACTAACATAAATTGCGATAAAACTTATCCCAACCCCCTTCAAACCCCACACCCTATGTACACTCCTTAAACATTTTGCAAAAATAATCAGGAACTTATGTAACGTCAAAAATGGCGTCAAGTAGATTGACTATAGGTTCACTTTGGTAAGATGAATCTTCGACCTCTGCATATCTCACTATATAAGGCAAATCCATCATATTTCTGTAGGGGAAATATATGTGGCTTATTATGTCAGTATATAAATATTTCTCCTGTAGCGTCAATGACGACATCGCCGTAGACATGTTGGAATTTGTTACCCATCACACAGTCGTCAGTGACCTCCACGACGATGCAGCATCGCGCCGGGCACGCAACGCAAACGATTGTTATTTCGAATTATGATCACATTTACCATTCAATTTTCCAGTTGGTACCGGGATCAGAACCTTCTGATTGATAGAACGTATTTGACAAATAAAGTTTGAACCCCTACCAAAAAAATTCCAAAAACGATCAGGAGCATCTGAGACGTGAAAAAACGCGGTGTAGTCGATTTTTCTTTTATTCGTGTTTTTTCCGCTACCTCCGCCACCACTAGACCAATTTTCAAAAATATAAAGCTTTGTCATCCTTGGCACAGTAGTAACGTTATGTGAAATTTTTCATCAAAATCCAAGCGGCACGTCTCAAGTTATAGGAGGTTATAAAATTAGCGGAGAGACCGACTGACAGACTGATCGATGGAAATCAGTGACATGGTTTTTCGTGACAGACACGTCATATAACATCCGAAAAACATAATATCTCAATTCCGAAATTTTTCGCGTTTGGTATAGGAAGTAAAAACGAGGTTTGAGTGGTTTTTATTTATTTTTCCGTTTTTGTATTTGCCAATAAACCGATTTACAAAAACTTTCGTTCTTGGCATAGTAGTAACCTTGTGTAAAAATTTCATCCTAATCCAAACAGTGCCCTTCCATACTAGGGCGGCGATTAATACACAACTTAGATTTAATCTTTTTCATTGTATTTTAAACGTTAAAACACAGTTGTACAAACATGAAAATATAATTTATAAAATTCTTTTTTAAAAAAATACTAACTAGGTACTAAAAATGTTTCTCAGTGTTTTTGTTTTAATCAACCTTATATTAAAAAAATAAGATAAAACAGTTCATAATAAGGGCAAACAAGATATATTGAAAAAAATTATAAACTCTAATACTTAATACATTATAATGGATACAATTAACTTAACAAATCCAACACAGATTTTGACAATATGTCTTTTTTTAACACGTAACTTTCGTAAACCACTACCCTCCTTAGAGTGCCAACTATAAAAAATAGTCCTCCTCAAAACAGAATACTAAAAAAATTTACCTAAAACAACAATAAAATTGGATTTTGAAAACACCTCTTTTCTCTGTACTATGAACATACATACATATATGGTTCGGCATCTCATTAACTTAAAAAGGGGCAGCAAGATGCAGATGAAACCTATAGGCCCCTACCTTGACATTCTCTAATTTTTAACATTTATCTCAGCTGCAGCAAGGCGCAGCCAAAAGTTTATAACTCGAAGTGAATTAATTTTTATAAGCAAAAACAACTTTCGATAAAAAATTATACAAAACTCCAAAACGCATGTTTTTACATAAAACAGGTGAATAATAAGAGTACATACCATATTCTTGCACCTCCATATTATCACCACGTGAAAACACTAAGCTTAAAATTATAATCCACAAAAAAAGTAAGTAAGTTGCAATGACTTCGTCCCCCGAGAAGCTGTCATTTACGATGAACGAAAGTAAATGACAGTTTGACTAATTTCATTGTTATTCATATTTTTTAAAAACCTCGCGCCTACTCGATAACTTAGCGACTCATTTAGACCGTTGTAAACTCATGAATTTTTGGGATTTTTGGCTTATGGAAGAATCTACTGTGCAGTCCTTTCCAAGTTATAGACGGGCCAAGGATTGCCGGACACACAAACAGACCAATAGACGATTTTTCGTGATGTACTTGTAATGTAACATTGAAAAAAACATAATTTAATTTTCGAAATAGAACTAAGGGATCAAACTTCTAGCGGTTATTCAGTGTAACAGTAGAAAACATTTGAGTATAGGGACCCATATCCGGAAAAGTGACACTACGGCCCTAAGACGCGTTAAAATGTAGCAAGACGATGAATTGCCTAAATAGGATTTAATGCATTTAATTTTTGCCTTTTGTACATGATATCATCATAACAATTGTTCAAAATGTCTTCCTCCAACGTGAATACACCGATTTAAACGTCGCACATGATTTCGGCGGACTTGACTAAACATTTGATACTCGTTTTGAGTGATTTCAAATGCTGCTGTAATCCGTCCAATTAAGTCTTGCTCTGTTTCTACTGGAGTTTCGTAAACCAGAGACTTTACATGTCCCCACAGGAAAAAATCTAGCGACGATAAATCGGGTGACCTAGGAGGCCAAGAAACTGCTCCACCTCTGGCAATCCAACGATGCCCAAACCGCTGAGCCAAATACGCACGTACCTGTACAGCAAAGTGAGCCGGCGCTCCATCATGCTGAAACCACATTTGCTGTCGAACGTTCAATGGAACATTTTCAAGAAGTTCTGGAAGAACTTCCCCCAAGAAACGCCGGTAAATAGGTCCTGTTAACCGTTCCGGTAGAAGGTATGGCCAAATCAAATAATCATCAACAATGCCTGCCCATACGTTGACAGACGATGGTTGCTGATGTTTTCTAGGAAAAATTGCACAGGGATTTTCTTTGTCCCAAACGTGGCCATTCCTACTATTAAAAATACCGTCTCTTGTGAAAGAGGCTTCATCGGTCCATAAAACATAGCGTAAAAAATTTGGTTGTGCAGCGATTTGATGAAGAAGCCATAGACAAAATTGAACTCTACGATGATAATCGGCTGCACTCAATCCTTGAACTTTCTGGAAGTGGTAAGGATAAAGTTGTTGCTCGTGTAGCACTCGCCAGACGGAAGCAATACTCGTATTCATATCCTCAGTAATGTAACGTGTGCTACTTGATGGTTCGTAGGCAACTCGCTGAAGGACCTCTTCGATATGGAATACAGCTACAAAAAACAATCTCTGTTATCGTTTTTAAAGATACCAACGCACAAGCGCCGAATATGGGTCCCTATACTCAAATGTTTGCTACTGTTACACTGAATAACCTCATAGTTCTGAAACACCCTGTATTTCGCGATTGCAATACTTCCTCGCCAGTTGATTTTTTAGTTAATGTAAAAATTAGTCTCCAATGCTTCGAAATTTTTAAGAATGGCCCTTAAAAGAATCCACACTGAAACATTAAATTTCAACTCACCATGTGGATATCGCGCGCCTGCGCTGGCAGTTTTTTCGTTGTATCCATAATCGCCCCTGCTAAAACTCATTTTCCTCTTCTCAAACCTTCTAGCTCACTCCCAGTTATTACCTATACTATCTCATGTCGCCAACAAGCTTGTTTGGTTTCCTGTAATGAATAATCTAACATAAACATCCATTCACAAACGAATATTCTTAAAAGATTAGTGCTTATCTTGGAAGACCGTTATAGAATGCGAGATAAGGAAGCAGTGCTGCGATAATTATTAGTCGTAGCCCGCTTCAGCCCTAGCTTCCAAGCTGTCCACAAGACAGTGATGCTTAATTTGAGTATAGTCCCATATAGATTGGATTATTATTTCAAAAACAGGGTTTTCAACAGTATATCTCAATATTTTGCATCCTACGCATACGAAATGGAAAAACATGTCCTTCAAAGTTCATAAGTAAGCAAAAAGACGAGCACAAACTGCATCAACCTTGAAAATGAATGTAAACAAAATTTATCAGATAACGCTATATCTTGGAGGTATTTTGAAAGTGAATATAGTTCCTTGCACTTGAATTGCATACAAAATTTCAGTTTACACCATCATCAATTTAACCTTTATCTGTTCCATTCTCTAATCTAGCCAACCATATATTGCATTCCGGCGTACAAAAGGGGATCTGACAGATCCTAGCTCTATCTAGGAGACATACGCAGAACACACAAATGAATTTAGATATCTTTGGAAAGGTTTAGCGTATATACATACCTTTTTGGCGCCTTTCTAATGATTATTTTAATTGGGTAGCCTAGGGATTGATTAAGGTATTTCTCCTGAAGACATCCAATTTAAATAGGCATTAGTAAGGTGTTTGATGATCCTAGCACCATCTATGAAACAGTAGAGGAACCAAACGCTTACTATTTTTAAAGTAGCTTTTTGAATTCATTTTTCTGTTCTGCTACTGTCTTATAGTTGGCGCTAGGATCTTTCGGATCCCTTTTTGGACGCTGGAATGCATAATGCAGCATGTTAAGGGGCACTATATTACAAAATAATCTGAAGTTCCAATCAACATTCATACACTCCAGGTAAATGCCCTGCTTGCAGTAACGAGTAGGATTGAGAAGTCAGTTTTTTACACAGAAGCAGCCGCGCAGGTGTGTGAAGCAGGGGCAGCCAGGGCACCCCGACTGCTATCAGGAGCGTAAAGAGACTTTGTCTGGCAAAAGCATCCTCATATACATTCTTCCAAAATTTCGAAACCCTAGGGTTAAGGAGCTGTCGTATAGGCCAGTTCTGGATGTATGAAGTTCGACACGATGAGGATGTGATTATGAAGTTAGCCGGGTCTGTTTGGCAGGCACATCGTGTAACGGCATCATGGAGAAGAGCTCTGAGGTAAAACTCGTTGGCATAGCACTAAAAGGGAGCTGGACCGCCAACGGCCCGTCGGTGCGAAAGGGTCCCGAGACTGTCCTCTAACGGACAGAGCCATCGATCAGTCGGACAGCCCTTTTATGAATAGCATCCAGCATGGATAATGTAGTCGGGACGTTAGCACCCCAAACATGTGAGCATTAATCGAGGCTAGGTCTTATCTGGGCCTTGTACAGAGTGAGGAGGTCATATTGACGAGATGTGTTCGTAAAAGATCGAGTCCTCGGTGATCTGGACTCCGACCAGCCGAAATGAACGGGTTTTTGGTAGAACTCGGCCATCCATCGAAACCGGATGTTCGTCAAGGTACAGTACTGTGTTTTGGAAACATTAAACTGTACAAGATTGCCTCGTTACCAACCAGTGTTAACCTCCAGGTTTCTCAACAGAGAGGAAGTCGCTGCTAGTCTGTGGATTGGATTGATCGTGCATGGAAACAATGTCGGAGTCAAGACCAATCCCTGGGGAACACTCGCGTTGACGTTGTGGGATGAAGAGAATCCGTCGATTACGACGGATATTTTTTTTATATATACTCCAACTACCACGGAGACCTAAGGCCTAAACACCCATGGGGTACCGTGGGGCTATAGGAGGATACAGGGGAAAGAGGGGACACCACACGGACTCTGATGAAGGAACACGTGTGCATGCAACATGCATACATTCTGGCCCCGCCTACGAGATCCGCCGGGTGGTACCTCCGCGTACAACAGTCAGAGACCATCAATCACCTCCGGGCAATCACAACGTCCATAGCCAAGAGAAAAATTTCTCTTGGGACGGGATCCGAACCCGCGCAGCGCACGGCGGCTGATCAGGAGACCGAAGCGTCTACCAATGCGGCCACCGCTGCTGCCCAAATCTTGCGGCCAGTGAGACAGTCGGCCATCTATCTGCAAAGCTTCCCTGGGAGGCCGTAGGATGGATTTTGCATAAGAGCGCAGCATGCTACAGTTGATCGAAAGCTTTCGTTATATCAAATGCAACGACATGAGCCTCACCATAAGACTGGATGAGGAGTTTACGCCACAGTTGCGTAGCCTAAGCTAGGAGGTCTCCTGTGGGTCGCTGGTGCCGGAATCCATACTGCTTCTCGCTAATCAAGCCGAGATACTTCAGAAGCTCCCGATATATGCGCCTCTCCTTCACCTCACTTATAACAGAAAGCAGCGCTATAGTCTCGGTTCTTGAACCTTTTTTTGGGATGGGTTGGATATGAGCAAATTTCCCGTTTTCTGGGAAAGTGCCGGTGTTGTAAGATATCTAGAAGAGACGCAAAAGAGCTGCACATCTATTCAAACAACGGTAGGAATCAAGTCCGGACCAATCGTCGGCACTCAGGTGTTGGGGAGGGGGCAGAGTAGATGTTACCACAAGAAACTTGGTAACAAGGGGCTGTTCTACAGAGCGGGGTCCTCTCACCACTTCTTTGGAACCTTGTTCTTAAAGGACTCTATACCCAGACGACGTCGCAGTACTGCTTAACGGTTAATTTCTAAGGTACAATCTGCCCTCTGCGGATTATAGAGGAATTATGCAGTTACGTTTTCCTTCTGAGGCCAAGTAGCTTGGGATCCCTTAAGGCACGAAGCTAAATTGAAATATTCATATAGAATGAAGATTAAGGCCCGTATCGTCAGTAGTCCCTACAATTGTAGGGCGCCTTTATGGCCTTCTTGATTGTCATAGTTTTCTGCTTCTCCGTGTCAGAACTCTATTTTGAGGTTATGTCACAAACATCTATTTGCATCAAATTGTGCTTGCTTTTGAGTTATACGTATATTATGTTTTATCATTCTGAAATTTCCTACAATTTAAAAAGAAAACATATCCTCACAATAGGAGAGCGCTGACGCTGACACGGGACAAGTGTAATTTAGAAATTTTTTAAGGAGAGAAAGGAGGATGACAATCAAGGAGGCCATAAACGCGCCCTACAATTGTAGGGACGACTGACGATACGGGCCTAAAGAAAGCGCAGATATCCTGTGAGCAATGCCGCATGCTCATCGACAAAGCGTGGGGTTTGAAACTCAAAGGTGCTATGAAGATAGACACTGTCATAGTGACACTTCTGGTGCCAAGGTTGCCGTGACTTGGGTCATTAAATGTCAACAGGTAACCACAAAACTACGGCTAAAGGTCAATTCACACTCAGCCGTGACGTGACAGTGCCGTGCCGTGAGCTCACAGTGTTTTCAATTCACACCGGTCAGTATTTTTCTCCATGTTCTGACAATGCAGTCGAGTTCACGTGAGGTCGAGATGGCAAAATTTTCAGAGGATGAACTAGCATTAATTCTGGATTTTTTTTATACTCCGACTACCACGAAGGCCTAAGCCCTAAACACCCATGGGGTACCGTGGTGCTATAGGGGGAAACACAGGGGAAAGGGGGGACGCCACACGGCCTCTGGCGAGGGAACACGTGTATATGCAATATGCCCACATTCTGGCCCCGCCTACGAGATCCGCCGGGTGGTACCTCCGCGTTCGACAGTCCGAGACCGTCTACCAGCTACAAAAGATGAAAAAGAAGAAACGAGAAGAAAACGGAAGTCCTTGTATTTTGAACTTGACTGGTTCTATAGCACGGGATGTACGTGTACAAATTCAATTAGTTTTTCATCATTCATGTTTTTGACCAATTATATCAAAATATTGACGAAATTACATAAAAACGCGGCCGTAAAAATCGAAAAATATCGTTCCAAAACAATGCGATGATCACGGTACGGCGTCGTCGAGGTCACCGAGAACATGGCCACTTCCACGTGCCGGTCTAGTGTGAATCAGTTCATCCAAATTCCAGGAAGAATCGTTTTAGTTTTGCCGGACGGATCACGTGGCGGTCACAGCACTAATACGACTCGGCTGAGTATGAATAGGCCTTAAGTCGGCTACACCGGGTTGCAGATATGCCTTAGCATAACTGGTACTACGCGAACTACACCAACGAAAGCAATGGAAGTATTTCTGAACTTGCCACCAATGTTTATCTGGAAGAAGTGGCTTTGGAACATTGGTGTAGAATAGCTAGAAGTCGCTTATGGAATACGGCAATTATTAACGTGTCACTTTTCCAGGCTGACATAAAGTACCTGTACCAAATAAGGCCATGCACCTAAAAGGGCATGCGTCGATTTTACAGAAACTATAAACATTTAAAATTGAAGATTTCTGCAGTTCTACAAATTTATTGAAAGCAGTTAGCAGCCATAAATTCAGCAGCTGTGGAGCGGCGCTAGATGGCGCAGTAGGACAGCGTCAGTTTTCAACATGTGCCATATAAAATTTCTGCTTTACGTTTGTCTCCGTTTTTGCATGTTGTCAGCTTCTTTTTGCGGAATCGCTTTTTAATTCAAACAGGTAAGTCTGTAAAGCATATTTATGCAGTTAGTTATTTGCTGTTGCCAGGTTTTTAATGTCTTCAATTTTCTAAATTGTATATGTAAGGTTAGATGTGCGTAATAAGGCCATGTTAAATGGTTCCCAGAAGAATACGAGGGATGTCTTTTAAGTTTTGCATATGGAAATAAAACAACACGGTACGTAGTTTTAAATGACTTTATGGTTTGTCGAAGATTAATACACTCGTTTGCTGGCAGATCCCAATCGGCATTTTTGAATGCGTCACCTGCTTCTTCTGGTGACTGGAACCTTTGACCACGCAGTCTGTTTTTAATTTTCGGGAAAGTAAAGAAATCGTTAGGACAAAGATCGGGACTATATGGAGGATGGTCCAATAATTCCACGTTTTCTTCCGTTAAATACTGCCTTGTTTATTGGGCTGTGTGCGAGCTTGCATGGCCTGGGGGAGGATGATTCTTCTTTCGCGGTTGATTTTTCGAAGCTCGGTGTTGACTTTTGGCAAACAAATGGTGGTATACCAATCCGCAGTAACAGTTCTTTGCTCATTACGAGGAATTTTTGCAATATGACCCGCTTTTGACACAAATGTCGAGACCATCTTTTTCGAAACACTTCGAGAACGGATTACTTTTGTTGGCTTTTCTTCACCTTGGAACACCCAAACAGCCGACTGTTGTTTATTTTCTGGTTCATAACAGTAAATCCACGATTCATCACCACTAACAATCCTGTACACATTTTTTGAGTTTCCGGAATTGAAGCGGTCAAGCGTTATTTGACACCAATTAACCCTGGCTGCTTTCTGCTCTTCAGTCAACAGGTGGGGTATCCAACGAGAAATTATTTTTTTACTCTTAATTCTTCATGTACATTTTTTTGAATTGAGGTCTTTGAGATCTTCGAGGACGCCTCAATCTCGCGATATGTCACATGTCTATCTTCAATGATGAGTTTGCGCACAGCATCGACGTTTTCCTGGGTGACTGCCGTTTTTGGTGCACCCACCCTGGGATCGTCGCTAAGAATTCTCCATACCTACCATACCGACTGATGTGGCACTTCGTTGCCGAAAACAGACAGTAACTCAGATAGGCATTCTTGTTGCGATAATTGTCTCTGAAAGTTGTAATAAATTATAGCGCGAAAATGTTCTCGGTTGAGTTCCATTTTTCTAATGACTTGGTGACACTTAAAAATTCACTGTAGTGAGAACACTGCACGTATTGTTGTGAAACTCTGAATTTACGTTTACTAAAGAGTGAGGTTAAGATTCAGTACTGACGTTCGATCCGCGCGGCCTACTATGTTTCTATATGCAAAACTTAAAAGACATCCCTCGTAAAGACGAAAACTGGGACTGTTTCATATGCGATAAGGATGAAATAAGTGACATGCGTCTGTGTGTAATATGCTTAAGATATGTCCATGAGGAATGTGTAGGCGTGTGTAGAGGCGATAAGGTATCATTTGTTTGTCATCAATGCAAAGACAAAAACAAGTAGATTCACGTGAAATCTATCTGGGTTTACGAATTATTTATTGTTGTTAATTAGAATTATATCTTCGTTTATTCAACAGTCTTGTTTTATATGTTGAGCGTGGCTTGATTAAAAACCAGATCATGGTCTTATTTGGATACCTGGATTCCTAATAAGGCCAACGGTAGTGTTTCAAAAAATATACATTTTTTATATGAAAAGAAAAGTTCTTGTAGCTCTCCGATATAGCTTATTCACTGAACAAACCTATAATAATACGTTTAAAATTTCATGATCGTATCGCAAATATTTATGAACTTGCAGCTATCCAAACGTTAACGTAGCCTTATTTGGTACAGGTACATTAGACACTATTCCTCCGATGTTCATCTATGCTCTTAAGACAGCTTCTAAAAACCAGATGGAGGAAGGTGTTATTAAAATTTTCACTGACAGAGCTAGAAAATGATGGGGCCATATAATAATAATAATTAACGTCTTTTATTTGTAATATTCTTACAGGAGGCGAGATTTAGATTATATATCTATTCTACCATCTAACCCCCTTAACAATACGAGATGTAAAAAAAAAAAAATTAATAAATTTATTGAAAATTAATAGGCACCTGTATACAATAACGAATAATCCAAGTAAATACATAAGGAAAATATGAGGACACTTATGGGTTACAACCGATTTCGCTTCTGATCAAGAAGAACTTCTTTCACTTTTTTCTTGAATTTGGATAATGGATTGGTTTCTTTTAAACTGCGGTCTAAAGAATTATATGATTTGATCGCATTGTAAATGTATGAATTCTGAAATAGAGACGTGCTGTGGCGTGGAATTGAAAAAGTCTCTCTATATCTAATATTAATACGATGCATATTCCCTCTACGTATGAATTTGTTTACTAAATATGACGGTGTTTTTGAATAAAGAACCTTATGAGTCAGATTTAGGAGCTGGTACTTATACATTTTATCAATTTTCATCCATTTGAGTTCATTAATGGCATTCGATATATGATCGTATTTTCTGAGATCATTTACAAGCCTGCAACATGTATTCTTAATACTTTGAATACGATTTCTTGTTATAATATCTAAATAGGGATAGTAAACCACTAAGCAATACGATATCTTTGAAAATACGAAATATTCACACAATTGCTTTCTCGCAGATTTATGTAATATAGCCTTATTTGCAAATAAAACTCTGAGAATAGCGTAGCACTGCGTAATTAGATAGTTCACGTGTGCAACAAATTTTAAGTCATCATGCATTATAATACCTAGGTTTTTTGAATGATCCACAGGAATTAATTTATTACCTTTTAAATGTATGTCTATGTCCTTTTTTAAGGTATTTTTTTTGTTCTATTTGCGTATACCAACATATTTGTCTTCAAAGGGTTCAAACGAAGATTATGACTACTACTGAACTTTTCAATTTGGGCAAGATCTTGATTAATTTTATTATTTGCGGTTTCTAAGTCATTACTCCTAAATGAATAGAAAATTTGAGTATCATCTGCAAAAAATTGTATGCTGCATGATTTTACCTCTGTTTCTAAATCTTAGATATATAATGAAAATAATAGCGGTCCTAAGACTGATCCCTGTGGTACACCAGAACAAATTTTTTTTCCGTAGAGTACTGTTGATTTAGACGAACTTTTTGATACCGATTTTCAAGGTAGGTTTGAATAAACGAAAGAGGTTTTTCAGAAAATCGATAGTAACTGCATTTAGATACAAGAAGCGAGTGATTAATGGTGTCAAATGCTTTAGTAAAGTCAAGAAGTATGAGAGCTACTGCTTTTTGGTTATCAAGTGCCATTGTTATATTGTCTGTTAAATCACATAGTGCCGGAGCTGTATTATGACCTTGTCGAAATCCAGATTGTTTAGATGGAATAATTGTGTTAGAATAAAAGTAGGCGCACAGCTGGAGTATAAGAGCTTCTGTATGAACTGCAAGTGGTCTATGGACAAACATGTTCGTCGAAATAGCTGGCATAACTTCATCCGCAAAGGAAATTGCATTCAAAAATTGAAATTGCATAAAGAAATGTCACGGGAAAAATATTAGAAACTGCACGGACAGCAGATAAGTCAATACTGACTCTCGAGTGTTGTAAGCTTACAACGAGAATAGCACAAGACTGCACTTGTCACTTGTGAGTGCCTCCACCAGTAATAACAAAACTGTTGCCTGGTCGAAGGGTCATTCACAATTCAAGGGTAATATTATAGCAAACAGAGCATGTGAGATGATACGTCGGGCTGCTCATTCGCTAAAGTATTTTCAGGTATCCTAGCGAGGAAGTAGCAAAAAACCTCCTGTCTATGTCCAGATAACGGCTTCGATTTGCAACTGGCATTGCCACTCGACACTATCAGTTAAGGAAGCACCTCTCTGAGACTAGGTGTCACATCCTTATGTTGAGGATGTGAACAGGAGAATCGATTCAGGGGTAACGTCAGCCTTCTATGGCTAGCGAAGGGGAAACTCCGCTGTGCCACATCACCACCTTTCTACAATCGGGCCTAATACAGGATGGTCTTTCTTCAGGCGAGATACGTTATTCAGTGCATTCACCCACATTAAATTTTACAACTCCGACCATACGTTTTGAATGAAGAAAAACGCATTTACGATTTCATAACCGTCTGCTTAGCTTTCCACATGAATATCTATTTTGTTGAATGGCGGGAAAGCGTCGTCTTAAGAAAAGGATTCGGCAGAATGCTTTGAGAGGAACCGGTATTATTATAAACAGAACTCCAAATAATTACTGAAATGAGACTTACCGAGTAAACAATTGCTAAACACGTAGATCTCACTAACAATATGAAACCCGTGCGCACATGAGGACATAACCTACGAATCTAAGATTAGAACGTTGTCTTCGATGAAAGACCGCAAATAGAACGGCGATGAACTGCAGGTCATAAGTGATTTAAAAATAATTTGTCCGATATCGAGAATAAACCTCCTCCGCTGATTTTTCTATTTCTATACTTAGCGGTACGTACTTTATTCGTTGTCAATTATTGTAGTGAATTACATTCTGAAGCTGAACTTGAATTTTTCAGTATTACACCAACCTGAATCGAGAAAGCTGTGCTAACGCTCTGTTGCTCTGATTTGCCTTCCTAATTCGAATGACCCCTTTTTTGGTCATGGCTTTCCTATTTTCCTAACGTAATTTTTGCCTTACTAAAGAAGAAAAAAACTCGAAGTAGATTGACTCTATACTTCCTACGCCTCCGTTGGAGATTTCAAAGAAAAGGGATGAGTCAAGTCGTTTCAAAAAGCGTAATCGAATCGTGAATACGTATGTCCACTTAGATACAATAAATCTTCGACCTCTACGTATCAATGTATATAAAAGAAGTCCATCATATTTCTGTTTCCTGGCGGCTGTAGGGAAAAGATGTGACTCATTATGTCTAACAGGTGCATAATATTACCGGGACCAGCAGGTTCTTAATGATAGAAAGTCTGTCACTGACACCAAACTACCAACAATTTACAACCAGCAGGAGTCTCTGAAACGTTGCACCATGTTCTAGTGATTTTTATTTTTATTTGTCTGTCGTTGTCCGTAGCCACTGAATCAAATTTCACAATCTACGAATACCTAAACGATTGAAGTATTGAACTCGCGATTCAGTTCGCAAGTCTTCTATTAGTTAAAGATATACAGACGCAATTACTGGCATCTGTTTTTTCATTGGAAAAACGCTCAGACCCGTCGATTTTGTTTTCGAGGGGGCACAAGTTTGGCAAAAAATCACGTTAGCACGTGCAGCCCTCTAAGCGGGGGTGACACCACCCCTAAACTCTTATATGGAAAGGGGGGTCGAGTGATACCTTATTTTAAAGGTCTTTCAATTCCCTTTATAATGATATAAAATTAATGTACTTCAGTTCAGTAGTTTTTAAGATTTATTGATTTAAAACTTAAATAAAACTAATACATCATCATTAGTGGAGATCAATACATTTGGCAGCAAAGTAATATAAAAATGAAGAATGAACTGACCCGTTAGGCAAGTAAATGATGAAAATCTCCACCATGACTCTCCATGCAATAATAAACATTTTGCTCAAAACGTTGCCGCACATTTTGCAATATTTGAGGAGTAATTTGAAGGCACTCATTCACAATTCTTTGTCGCAGGTCTTCTAATGATGTTGGCTGAGTAGCATAGATTTTGCTTTTTAAATGACCCCACATAAAGAAATCCAAAGGTGATAAATCTGGCGATCTTGGGGGCCATTCAATGGCACCTCTTCTACCAATCCATCGATCTGGAAACGTCTGATCTAAATATTGTCGAACACGTAATGCGTAATGTGGTGGGGCACCATCCTGTTGGAACATCAACCTATTCGCAATGTACCGCCGATCATTCTGATTTTCAATTATTTATGGCTGTTAATACAGGATCTATGGCGTCTTCCAGTAATTCCAGATACATTTCACCGGTCAAATTTCCAGGTAAGAAAAAAGGAACAACTAAATGATCGCCAAAAATACCAGCCCAAACATTTAATTTTTGTGACTGCTGTGTATGAACCTCATGATTAATTCTGGGATTAGAATCGGACCAATATCGGCAGTTATGACGATTTACTACGTCATTTAAGAAAAAGGAACATTCGTCGGAAAAGCAAGTGTCGAATAGAAAATGTTCATCGTTTATAAATCATACCTTCACCAAATTGTAATCGCCGATCAAAGTCGTCTTCATTAAGTTCTTGTACCAGGTGAATTTTATACGGATGAAAACTATGGGCCTTTAGAATCCGCTGGACAGTACGTCGACTAACACCACACACAGTGTCCAATTTGCGGGTACTTAACGTAGGATCTACATAAACTTGCCCTAAAACCCCCACTTCTATTGCTCCGTTCCTTATAGGATTTTCAATGTTGCGTTTTTTATTGGCGACTGACCCAGTTTCCCGAAATTTAGCTACAAGTTCTAGAACATATTTTCGATGCAGGTTACTGTTCTCATGTCGCTTATTAAATATTTCTGCTGTTCTATTACCGCACTGATTATTTCCGAAAAATATTTTGATAATTTCAACTCTTTCTGCTGTGGAATATACCATGGTTAATTTATGTAATAAAGCGTTCCAAGTTATTTTAGCAACAAAGTTTGGTCAAATCTAACGCAAACTATGTACTAAATTCCTATTTAAAATAAGTACGAGATATTTCCTTATCTTTCTTCAAGACATAACTTTTTGGCCACAAAAAAACGCTACAATACTTATTAAGTATATTCTTTTAGTCAAATTTCTTCTGAAAGTAGTACAAACTAATCTGATGTACCTATTAAAGTCTACTTTAAGCATTAAATCAATAAATCTTCAAAACTACTGAACTGAAGCTCATGTATTTTACATCGTTGGAAAAAATTGAAAAACCTTTAAAATAAGGTATCACTCGACCCCCCTTTCCATTTAAGATTTTAGGGTTGGTGTCACCCCCGCCCAGGAGGCTGCACTTGTGTCCCCCTCGAAAACAAAATCGACGGGTCTGAGCGTTTTTCAAAAAAAAAAACTGAGCAATCAGTAAATGCGTCTGTTTCGTTTTCGATGCGCCACCCTGTATAATACAGAGAAAAATGATAACAAAACACATGAAACTTATAGTTCAGGTAACTTTGGCCGATTTTATGACGAACCTAGACTAGATAATAAATACGACCAATAGAATTTTGATCAAAATCAAATATTAGGCACATCTGATCCACCTACGAAATCAGAAAATCGACATTTTACCAAAACAAGCCTGGCTACCGAGCCACCACATGTTCAGAAACTACATCATTCAACCCTATTGGTGCTAATGGGCTTAGCTAGGATATAGTTTTTCCAGAGTACAACATCAAAATTTTGATAGATTCTGGTTCAAGTAGATCTTTTATAGATCCAGAGATTGCTCTCATTTTTTTTCCAAATCAGGTTATGGAAGAACCCTTCACTGTCTCAGGTGTATTCCACTGATAAACACACAAGTTTACAGTATATTCAGATAAGAGATAGACCGGACATAAACAAGACCACGTGATCATCGAACGCTGTAACATTCGGCAGGGATGTATTAAGAGTCACGCAGTACATATTTTAGATAGAAGATGCTGCTTTGCGTAACTTTGTAGTAAATTAGCACAATTCGATGTGTATACGATTGGTGATGGATATAGGATCATGTGGGGGTGGGGTAAGAAATATATAATGATGTAAATATACATAAGGGTTTCAAAATTTTCGCTTCGATTTCCAGCTTCGGATGCCGCCTGATGTTTGGTGAAATACAGTCGAATATAATCTCAAAATGGCGTTTAAATTAGCCTAAATTAAAAATAATCGTATATCTCTTAAAATTGCTTTTAGAATATTGATTAGTATATTTTTTGATTTCTAGGTAAATATGTAACCAAATTAAAACGTTCAAAACGTAAAAAAATGTGCATGGTTGAACATTGTCAGAAAGTAGATTCTTGAATAGGTTTTGCCAAAATGGGTTCAAAAAGGTCAATAATTAATTAAAAAATACAGTAGCTTTATAATTACTTATAACTTACCGAATTTGATGAACGACATCTTTTATTGGAAAGATGAGCTTGATGAGCTTTCATCATCGCTACTGCCTGAAGCACCAACGTCAATAATGAATGGCTCGACTTGTTCCTCTAAAATATTGTCCAGTTCCCACATTCTCTTTTCAACTTTGTCTTTCACGTGCTTAATACAGGTTTCCCATTTTTGCGCTGTTATTAATTCTAGTGCTTCTTTGAAAAGTCCTTTGAGGTCACAAAATTTAAAAGTTGTATTGTGCTTAGCTATATAATTTTTAACCTCTGCCCATATGAGCTAAATGGGATTGAGCTCGCAATGGTATGGAGGTAAACGGAGCACAGTTTTATTTTGACTTGCTGCCACTTCGTCAATGGCGTATTTTTGATATTCCGCCTTGTGATCCTTGACAATTCTTAATAATTGTACTTTCAGCATTGCTTCTTCAAAGTTGATATTTTTCGAGCGGAGCCAATTTTGAACATCAACTTTCCTTGAAGCCGTTGTTGGGACCTTCTCCATTCTTCGAGAATGATAAGGCGCATTATCCAACACAATTACTGCGTTTTCCTCTAAGTTCGGTAAAATTTTTGAAAACCACTGTTCAAACGATTCGCCATTCATTTCCTCGTGGTAATCTCCAGTTTTCTTAGACTCAAAGCACCACAGACCGTCAACAACAAATCCATCCTCACTGCCAATATGGCAGATAATGAGCCTTTTCCCTTTACCTGGAAATCGAAGTACTAACTGGTGTAGATTTATTTCAATAAGTGAACCTTTTTCAAATGTTTTCATCACATTCAGCGAACAAACATTGAGACATGAGTATCAGATTGCTATAATTGGGATTATTTAGTCATATTGAAAGAAAGAATATTGAACGTCGTATGATTACTCAGCGCTTCACAATTTAATTTATTAAAGTTATAAACCTTTAAAAAATGAATGATCAGGAACCTGAAATACGCGCAAATATTAATATTAACAAATTATAACTTTATAAAGCTTAAAGTATGAATTAAAATGATTATAAATATTAGGAACGGTACACAATATAAAACTTAGTAACTTTTTTTAAGTTTATAATATTCGACATATTAAAGATAATATTAAAAAATTATTGAAATATCGAAAACACATAAAAACATGGCTTAAAAAAGTTCTAACAAATGAAAATGACAATAAAACAGCCACGCATTTTATCGAAAGTTATAAAAGTTTTGTTACTTGTAATATGTTTTATCTGCCCCCTGGAATTAATGTTTAGAACCTTGTTCCCAAGGTTTGAAAAACATCCGATTGTTGTCTATTACTCGTATTTACCTGCTGGATTTTTTAATCCGGTGGACAGTCCATCTAGAAAGGCCCTCCTGGATGAAGTTACAGAATTATCAACCCATACTTTACTTGTAGTGTGTCCTGCGTTTACCCACGTTTCATCAAGGTAATAAATCTTCCTGTTTTGATTTCTATATTTCCCAATTTTTGTTAAATAATCCCTCCTCCATAGCACAATTTCTTCTCTATCCAGTAGTAAACTATTACGACTCCGTTTTTTCCATTTGAAATTTAAATGCTTCAGTAACGCATGGAAAGTTAATCGTTTGAAATTTGGCAACGTTGTATCTCCATTTACCTCCTGCAGTACTTTATCTATAGTAGGTATTTCATTCCTAAAGAAGAATTCATGCACTTTCCTCCTAATCGCATGCTTATCAGCTTCATCCAATGATTTAACAATACTTTTGCGATGTTTACTGGTCATTGGCTCAGAAAAGGTGTGATTTTTTTTGTATTGTCTTAACACATTAAACACTGATGCGCGACACACCCCAACTTTGTGAGAAACCTTCACAACAATTTCTTTGATGGTTGATGACTCGTTCTCCTCGCGCTCGATCTTATATATATTCAAAATGACCTCTTTCATTTCTGCACTCAGGTGTCTTTTTTTAGAGCGTTTCCTAGGTGGACTACAGGAGTTTACAACTTCATCGGTAGTATCTGTACTACTGGTCATTTTGCGCAAGCAGTTGATAACAATAACAATCAATAACAAGGTATAACAATAACAACGACAAACTCAACAACTTAATAAGATAACAAACGAAAACGTCCAAAGAAATATCAAATTGCAATGATGCACACGACATACGTAACACGTCTGAACCTGAATGTGACTCTGCCTTGATACGACTGCTCTGCCGCTCGGCATAGGCATTTAATTGCGAATTGACCAATGAGGGCTCCTTTTTTACGTCGAGACGGCGGCGTTAGCGTGAAAATCAACCGAACCTTTTGTTTACATCCGGTCTATCTCTTATCTGAATATACTCTAGTGGTCTAATAACAGCATCTAAAATTTTCAACTTGCCTCATCCAAGGAATTTGAAATTTAGTCTACTTTATTGTTCTCAACACATTTTATAGTCAGTCAGATTTACGCCTTTGTACTGATAACATCATAATAACATTGTAATAATTTTGTAAAAGGGTTGAGTTTTGTATTTTCGAAAATAAACTTTTTAAAAAGCGATCTCGAGGCATCGACCTTATAATTCATGTGAAAACTAAAGAGATGTGGGTGGGATACTTCTACGATCTCACAATTAACATTTTCTAGACTACATTGATTAAGTCTGAGACAAATTATCTACAATATTTGAAAACATATACATCTGAAGTGAGGGATGTCTACTCGACTTAAATCTCTTTTAAGTCCTCTGACAATTACAGGCTTCCGTGTTTCAAATTGCAATAACACGCTGGTAACAAAAATAGTGCATGCTTCACGATGTATTTAAATGAATCGCAGGAATCAGAAATGCGTTTGAAGTTATTTTTAGAAAACCTATCGCCTGTCTGTGGTTGCTAATTTATCAACAAACATTAAATTTTCAACCTATGATATACGGTTCAACACTACTGCTTTGGATCGGGTTTGGGTGTTCAGTTGGAAATAGTATTTACGCAAAAATCGTAATATTTACATTATTGGTACCGGTATTATGTAATTAATTATGATGCAGGTTGTTCCAGTATAGTACACGTAGTCCATTATGCCAAATAAAAAAAAGGCGTCAAGTAAGTTGACCTTCTGACAAACAGTGAGCTACTAGCATAGATAACAAAAAAATGAATGACTCTCCCCCCTCCCCCAGAGAAAAATTCCTGCGGGTGCACATGAGCGTTACTATGACTAATCCCGCGTGGATGACGATATTGACTTTCACAGCATACAGCCCATGCATGTGACGCACGACTGATAGAGATATTTATAAATTTTAAGGATAAATGTACCGGGAAATCTGTCATAAGTGAAATATGTCTACTAGGTGCGTATAATAATAATAAATGGCCCTTATTCGTCACATGATTACAAAATAATTGGATTAAAAGGAATAGTGAAGAAAAGGTGGAGTGTCAGCTTATGCTGTTTTTCAATCCGACCTAAAAAACATTGACACAAACTATAAAGAGAAAAAAAAGTTCTTACAAGAAAATGACACAGTTCACAACATTGACCACCAAAAAGAGAAAAGCTTAAAATATTACACTTCTCAGAAAAAGGAAACAATCAATTACCTGTGGATATGCGTAAAGTTAAATTCTAGCCATCCGATCATTAACCTTTTTTTAAAATTGTTTAGGCTATATTCTTTATACTCACTTGACAAGAACTACTGGGTTTAGAGGCGGATAAATACACCAACGTAAAAAAAATTGAGCTATACCTTCCCCACATAATCTCTTTTTCTAAATTCGCGATTACAATATTTCTTCGCAAATAGGCGTGGAAGTAAAAACATAGTACAAATGGCAAATTACAATAGATGAAGGAACTTCAAGACTGATTCAAAATGAATAATGGACAACTGGAATCGATATAGAGCACAAAAAATAACATTCCTGTAACAAACAAAAAACCCACGGAGCTCTTCTACGTTAATGAAGGCACACATTTTCAACACACTGTATAATAATGGAACAAAAATTATATTTTTGGAATGCCTAATGTACTCGTATCCTTGTTGTGTAAGTCCGACTTAAAGCTAAAACTTCAAGTGATCTAAAAATGTATAACCCTGTTTTTTTATAACGATTATGTTATCAGAATTTCCCAAAACTAGTGTAACCAATACCATTGCTAAAATTGACAGAAATGCACTGAAACAAGTGCGTATGCCTCCAAAAATGTTATCGCTGGGCCATTTTGATAAAAATATGAATTTTATTAACAACACTGCGTTGGGGCAAAGAGTAGTTGCATCAAGAGAAAACGCTTTGTGGAATATATTTATAATTTTATATTGACCTTGGGTTTCATCTGGATAAAAACTAGCTAAAGTCGGTAAATTTGCTACCTAGCATTAAAATACGTAAGATTTGAAGAGTTTTTTTAACTTTTCATTACGCGATTTAACCAAAATTTTCCGGTCGACTCTTGGGCTATTACTGATTTACAAAAAAAACAGTTATCTATGTGGGTTCGGCGCCGCTTCGATAAAATTCAATATCCGATTCCCAATTTTTTTTACACCTAAGCAGCCGCGCAGACAGAATCTCAAATGCCAAGAAACCGCAGCTGCAATGAAGAGCTTAAAGAAACTTTGATTTTTAAACTGCCTAAGGTTAATAAAACTGGGAAAAGCCACATGGCGCTGGTGCGAAAGGGTCACGAGACTGTCCGTTAGAGAAGAGCCATCGATCAGTCGGACAGCTCTCCACTGAACAGCACCGAGCATCGATAATGTAGTTGGGGCAGCAGCATCCCAAACATGTGAGGCTAGTTCTGATCTGGGCCTTGTACAGAGTGAGGAGGTCATGTGGAGAAAAGTACTTCTTAGTACTAAACAAATAGCCTAGCTTTTTCCCTATGCCGTAACCGAAACCCATTTCCAACACCAATTTTCAGTTAACGTATGGGCAGGAATTATTGGCAACCACTTTATTGGCCCGTTCTTCTTGCCGGGACGACTTGACGGACAGACTTACCTCAATTTTCTTCAACAACAGTTGCCTTTGCTGCCTGATGATCTTTCGTTAGTAATAAGAAACAATATGTGTCACACACCACCACCTCAAGAGGTGATGGTGTGTTGATTGCGATTGATGAGCGTTTTACAGTATCTTTGATAGAGATACCTGACTTGGCAGTACTTTCTGCCCTAAAGATTGATGTAGTAGCAGTCAAGGTTTGTACCAACACTTTTTCAGTTTACATTTGCAATGTCTACATACCACCTGATAAGCCCAATGCTGAATATGAGCAATTTTATGATGCTATCTTGTCATCGCACGTCCTATTTGATAAGGATTTAGTTATAACAGGGGATTTTAACATAGCTAACTACACTTCTTATGCTAATAGTCATGGACGCAACGCAAAATTGGTATCGTTGAACAACTTTGCTGAGGGTCTTGCTATTAATCAGTTTAACAATATTTCAAATTCTATGGACAATACCCTTGATTTAGTTTTCTGTAGTGGTCTGTGTGAGGTTGAACATTCGTGGGATCCGCTGCTAGATGAAGACCCATATCACCCTGCCCTGAATATTTGTTGTAATGTCAACAGCAGTCTCAATACTAAGCATAATTTTCCGGTTTCATTTATAAATTCTTATAATTTCCGCAAAGCCAACTTCCCCCAATTATATAATTTAATTTCAGACATGGATTGGGCTGCTTTAGATGGCTTTCATGACGCGAATGAAGCGTGTGAGTTCTTTTATAATAAACTGTACAATGCTTTTGATACCTGTGTTCCAAAATATGTCCGAGCAACGAAACGTAAATACCCACCCTGGTTCAATTCAGCAATAATTAAGCTTATCAAACGCAAGGAGAAGATTCACCGATCTTACAGACGCAACAATGATCCTAAAACGTATCAGACATTCAGGGAACTTAGATCAAAAATTAAGATAGATTCAGATGAAGCATACAAAATATATGTCAGACAAGCTGAGAACGGAATACAAAGAGATTCGAATAAATTTTGGGGCTTCTTAAATTCTAAGCGAAAATCAACAAACTTATCAAGTACGATGATTTACTACTACTCGTCTTCATCAGCCACCGAAGAAACTGATGACTTTTTAATGAGCAATGAACAGCCACTTAATATTACTAGATTTGAGGAGGATGAAGTTGTCTTAGCCTTGAAGCAAATAAAACCTAAGATGACTACCGGACCGGATAATGTACCAGCTTTTATTTTGCGTGACTGTGCCTCTGTGTTGGCGTGTCCTTTGACCGTTTTATTCAACTTGTGCCTTACCACCTGCACAATTCCAGAATTATGGAAGTTGTCTAAAGTATGTCCAATACACAAAAACGGCAGTAGGAATGATGTATCAAATTTTAGACCTATAACAATATTGTGCAATTTTTCAAAAGCTCTAGAGATATTAATATATAACAGACTATATCATCATGTCAGCAGAAAAATTTGTGTTCAACAACATGGTTTCATGAAAGGGCGCTCAACAGTATCAAATCTGATGAACTTCACACAGACCATAGCAGAAAACATTGACAGAGGATTACAAACAGATGTGGTCTACACAGACTTCTCCAAGGCTTTCGACAGAGTTGATCACAGGATGCTATTGCATAAGCTGAAATCTCATGGATTATCTGATCCTTTAATACAACTATTTAAGTCCTACCTCACTGGAAGAAATCAATTTGTGATGTTTAATGGCATCAGATCGTCGAAGTATGTAGCCAATTCCGGAGTGCCACAAGGCAGTAACCTAGGGCCTTTATTGTTCGTCATATTTGTGAATGACATAGTTAATGCTGTTGGCGATAATTGTTTACTTTACGCTGATGATGAAGATGTTTTGTCCTGTAGTTGATGAATCAGACTGTGATCAACTTTTAGAAAATCTGGTCAGGTTGGATGCTTGGTGCTCACAAAACAATCTGTCATTAAACATCAATAAATGTTACGTAATGTCTTACACTTTGAAGAAAAATCCTCTGTTATTTGACTATACCCTGTCAGGTAGCTCTATTCAGAGGACTTCAACTTTATGTGACTTAGGCGTGACATTTGACTCCCAACTAACATTCGTCAAACACATTGACAGCAAAATTTCCGAGGCAAACCGCATGTACGGCTTTATTGTAAGAAACTGTCGTGACTTCACTCAGAGTACCACCTTGAAGTTGCTGTATTATGCATATGTTAGGTCGAAGCTTGAGTATGCATTGCTAATTTGGAATCCGCATCATATTATTCATATAAGTAGGCTTGAATGTGTTCAAAGACGTTTCTTAAAATATTTGTCACTGAAAGTGGATGGCGTTTACCCGCCCATAGGTATACCTAATGATTCCTTACTTGAAAAACATCTAATCAGCAGTCTTGAAGCAAGGCGCACTTGCCAGTCAGTGATTTTTCTATTTAAATGGATCAATAATGCTAGTGATGATTTAGCTTTCTTGGGTCAGTTATCATTTAACGCACCTAGGCTGACATCCCGACAAAACGTTACGTTTTATCTACCTGCGGCACGGACAAATTATTTACACTATTCCCCTTTACATGTGATATGTAGGAATTACAATTCTGCAAGTAACAGGATTGATATATTTAACTGCAGAATTGCAGACATAAAAAATACTATTAAGTAACCAGCATGTATCTTTTACACTTTGTAGTCTATTACTTATTATTGTCTTTTATATCTGTGTTATGTTCTGTGTTTCCTCACCCTGTAATTGGTATTTACTGTAGGGTGTTGTAATGAATAAAATAAAATAAATAAATAAAATAAATATGTGGTACATGTATGCATGATGGTGCACCAGCGCATTTCAGTGTAACGGTTCGTAATTATTTACAAACTGTTTATCCAAATCGTTGGATTGGCCGCGGTGGGCCCCAAGAATGGCCAACAAGGTCCCCAGAACTCAACAGTTTAGATTTCTTTTTGTGCGGCTATCTTAAGACACTAGTGTACACAAGTCCCATTAACACTGTAGAGGAATTAAGAGTAAGAATAGTTGCAGCTTGTGATGGAATTAAAAACACTCCAGGCATATTTCAACGAGTGCGCAATTCCATGAGAAGGAGGGCAGAAGCATGCATACTAAGTGAAGGGGGCCATTTTCAACAATTTCTGTAATCATTTCGTTGGTTTCAATGTTATATTTATGTTGTCTGTTGTTGTTGAGGTTCATTACCTCTAATGTGTTTAATTTTTCCAATTAAATTAATAATAATTTTACAAGTTAGACAATAGAACGGTTTTTATTTTTTTACTCAAAAATGGCGCATCGAAGGAAAACAATTCAATAGAGATCATTTGTTTTAAATTGAACGAGGAATTCAAAAATAATTTTTATTTGGCAAAAAACCGTTGACGTACCATTTTTTTCTAAAAAAATATCGAAGTCAATACCCGTATGTACGCCATTGTTAAAGCTCAAAATTATTTGTGCATTGAAAAATATGCAACCTTATTAACTTTCACTACGTACTAAATATCAGTAAAATATCTGAAGCGGTTCTGAAAATATTAATTAATTTCCATTTTTTTCCTAAAACTTCAACACCCCGAGTTTTGTAAGGAAACATTTTTGGACCATAGTTTATAAAGCAAACTAACATTAAATTTTTCATGTAGATTCACACCCTTAAATATTCGCATATCATTAAGGAACCCCTCCGCATTCACATGGTACCTGGTATACACAATCCTTGGTGTTCTTTCATAGGTTTTGTCTTTATGAGAAAACTGCAAAGTGTGATGTTCCTTGAAAATGTATAGATAGATATACACACTTTCAGTAAGAATAAATGAGCATAAATCCAACACGAAACGGTGAGAAACGAATAAATCTGGGATAGCAGATCACCACCAAAATACCACATAATATTATAAGATATAAGATTTCAAACAAGGAAGCACACTGGATCGGAGAAAATTCAAATAAGCGACCTTCATAATAATGAATGAAAATGTTAACAGCCATTCAAGTGTTGACATTACACCAGTATAACTAGCGATCGTAAGAAACATCAAACAACTGTAACTCAACGGAGAAACACATTACCGCCAACCACCGGCCACGTTATCAAACGCTATAAAAAGTCAAGAAAGGGGCATGCTCGCCAGTTCACCTGATGACGATTGAAAAAACGTCGTGAATCAAAAGACCTTATTGACAATGGTAGTCCGAGAAACAACATCCTGATAAAACAAATCGACCACTGCGAGAGTGTTGGAACTGTATCTCAGTTGGAATTTGACAGCCGGGTCACCACTGTGACCACTAGATGCCCTCGAATCTGGTGGTATAGTAGATACTGACTACTCACCATTGAACGAACTTTTAATACACCTTTCGTTCGTCCGACCACAGACGGCTAACCATGGTACGAAACAGCTGTGGTGAAACGAAAGCTATACTATAACTGTGTAGTATCTTTAAATCTGGAAATTTACTTTTCCTCACGCGACTGCATCGTTCAGCTAACAGTCGAGTGCGAAGACACTTTCCACAAAAGTTAGGAGTAACATTTTTTCTACCAGCGCTTAACAAGAAAAACAACAATACATGATTACAATTTAACCAAGTATCAAATTCAATCAGTTATCACATGTGATAGCTCCATTTCATTTATCTCGACAATGACTTATTTTAAACAATGAATAAATTTGACACTGGCAGGGGCATTACGTATCTGGTAAAGTGACATTATGGCGTTTGTTTTGACATTATATAAGTCAACAGCGATGTAGGCATACCCTACTTATTCCTCGTCACACCACGGCAATGTTTGCCAAAAGCTTTTCCTTTAGTGCCGCTAATCTGTACAACTCCTTACAAGATTATTTCTTAAAGACCGGTCACTTATCAACTTCAAAAAAAGATTGAAGTACTTGCTGAACAATTAGTTGATGTCGTAGATACTTAGTCCCTGGCTATGAATTAGGTTTATGACATGGTTTACCATGCTTTGTAATGTTTATTTACCTCTTTTTTGTGAAACATTATCATTCAAATTTATGAAATACCATTAGATTAATATCATTTATATATTGTTTTTTGTATTGTTTGTTTTTTTTTTGTAGATTTTCGTGTGTACTTTTTACCTGTGCTACTCTGTACTGTGTGAATAAAGGCCTGTTATTATTATTATACAGGGTGATTTTGAAGTTGAGTCATTAATTTTCAGATAATGATTGTAGAAGGAAGATAAACCAAAATATGTGTGTAAAAATAAAAAAAAATTAAAAAAAAATTTACCTTGTTTTATAAAGTATCCTCCCGACAAGTATTTCAGAGCGGACCTGTATTTGATCGTGAGGTCTTGGAGCACCGGCATGCCGTCTCCTGTGAGGTCTTAAGTCACCTGATTCACGAGCCCGTTGTACTACATTAACAAAGGCACGAGGGGTTGGTTGCACTCGATTGGGAAACCGATCCGCATAAACATGTGCCATTTTTTATTTCGTTTGAGCCACGCAACAGACACCACTATTCACTCACGCGTTACCGACTGACACTGACTGTATACAACTGAATAAAATAATTGTAAAAACATCGTTCCAAATTCATTCGCTTTTTTGTTTCCGATGCGATGAACCGATAAGGCGGATTATATATAGTATAGGTAAGATGTCAACTTAGAACTAGCTGTTGTTCACTTGATGTGCACTCGTTTTGTAGTTGTATGTTTTGCCTAAACATCATAACGCTTCACTATCAATGTTTGGCTCTGATGTGATGTAACATCTGCTTCAGAGATAGTATTATTGGAGGTCTAAGTTGTAAGTTGTATACTATAGCTGGAAGGAAACGGCAGTTCATAGGTGCATTGTGAGGAGTTGTGTGCTAAAAACCTGTGTCGATGATAATTTCCTTAGTTTCTTGTCTCAAATACACATACTTGAGATGTATGCTTCATCGTGGGAATTACATATGGAAATCTACTGAATTTCAAAAATGAGAGATTAATACATAACATTACGTGAGATGGTATTTCGGTGATACTCCAATCTTTTATGCACTTGTGAGTCATGACTTGACTGGAAATTTCACACTCTTTTCAAAAATCAAATAACCCAATATGGCGGCCATAAGAAAAATTAAAGTTGAGGCAGGTTGCTGGAAAACAAAAGACACGTCATACATGCAAATTCCGAATAATGTCACATTTTGACATCTGTCAAGTTAACCGTTTTGAATTTACTGGCAAAAAACAAATTCCGCCATTTTCGGTTTTTCGCTGATATTTTCAAAACCAATTGACCGATCGTAAATCTGAAGACGGTTATAGAAAGCACCAAGTTTCTTCTAAAACTTTCCCATTCAAGAAGCGAATCTGGGACACACTGTATATGTTTTTTTACCTAATAATCCTGCCGGTGGCATTTTTACCACAGACAGTGTGAAAAAGTAACTTTGCCGCACGGGGTGTGAAAAACTAGCACTTTCCAAACTGAAATGCGTGACACTATCAGCACGCTAGTAGAAAAAAGTATTATCGGCATAAGTACTTGATTCGTAAAAGAAATATAAACAATGCAATTATGACACACGCAGTCGTAAATTTGTACTATTTTTCACATATTTTTTTACGACTACGTTCGCATGTAATACCTGGAAACGCATAAACAATATGAAGTGCAAATACTCTTGTGCCTTTGAGTGCGCGTCTAATCAATACAATCGATTTGTGATAAGAAAAAAGTCCCTCTCCGAGTGTGTAATACCATGAGCTCATCGAATATTTCATATAAATACGAGCTTTTCATCCCAAACACTTAATTGAATCATTTCAATAATGTTTGGGAAGAAAGTAGTTGTGTTTAGTTTGGTGGTGTTGGCGGTTGTTTCTCAGGTAAGATCGTTTCTTCAACAAACAAGTATAAATTGAAACGCCTAGACTGAACGGTTTTTTTTTGTAATCTGTAATATGTACTCAGTGAAAAAGAAAATTGAACACCCAGTAAAGTCAAAAATAGGTTTATTTCAATGAAATTTGACATAGGGATGTTAAAAATAAATAAATTAATCGATTATTTTTTCGTTATAATTGATTGTTAATAATCCATTTTCTTAATCATAATAATCGATTTCCAATAAATCGATTATGTATATAGATTAACCATATTCTATGCCTTTTTAAATGATTTTCCTTCTTTGATGAGCGTGAACAGTAATTATTGGTTAACAGTAAAAAATGTCTTCCAAAGGTAAAACACCTAAAAGCGACTGGAGAAAATAATTCACAATGAAAAAGAATAGCCACAACAGTCACGTGCAAGTAGTTGGAAGGACTTAATAGATAAAATAAAAAAATATATTTTAAAAACATATTCATAGAATGGTCAAAAAATTCGAGAATATTTTTATGACGTACAACAGCAGAATAGTTTGATAATTTCTATATAACTTTCATATTTTATTAATAGGACTCCATATATATACTAAGTGACATATAAATCCGAACACCCAGTTTAAATGGTTTTATTTTAATAAAATTTTGTATAAGTACTTAATGAAGCATAATAAGTAAATGATAAAAATTTCAAAATCATTGCACTGCTTTAAAGCCCTTTGACCTTTAATAATGTGTGGATGCACCCTGATGTGCTACGCATTCTCCAACGCGCCTAGGCATGCTTCTGATCAGGTGGTCAATGTCCTCCTGTGGTATCTCATTCCAGGCAACCACCAACTCCTCTCGAAGTGCTTCTAGAGTCTGAGGAGGACGTTGCAAATTGAGCATTCTCCTACCCATCACATCCCACACGTGCTCAATTGGGGATAAGTCGGGAGATCTTGGTGGCCATGGTAACAATGTGACATCATTACGTTGAAAGAAGTCTATTGTGACTCTTGCAACATGTGGTCGGGCATTATCTTGTTGGAAAGTTGGATCTGCCAGGGTGTCAAGATAGGGTAAAAGATGGGGTTCTAGAACTTCGTGGATATAACGCTGCGCGTTCATGTTACCTCTGATGAAGATTAAAGGTGACCTGGAACCATAAGCTATAGCACCCCAAACCATAACTCCAACAGTGTGATGAACATGTCTTTCAACAAAAAACTGTGGATTCCTCCTTTCACCACGTCGCCTTCTAACCCTGGCACGACCATCGTGCATGCCTAAACAAAATCGAGACTCGTCACTAAAGACAATACTGTTCCATTCCTGATCCCAGAGTGACCGTTGTCTGCACCACTCAAGGCGATTACGTCGGTGTTCTCAAGTTAAAGGGAGGACCCAGTGTGGCCGGTATGAAAACAAGCCAAAACTTCTCATTCGTCGGTAAACACTTCGCATGCCAATAGGTCTTCCGTGTTCTGCAAACCATTCATTTGCAATGGACCTGGTAGTGGAGAAACGGTCCCTTAAAGCCAATAATCTTAGGCGGCGATCTTCACGATTTGTTGTTCTACGGCGGCGTCCAGTGCCCCTTGCTCTTTGCGTACGGCCTTCTCGAAGCCATGCCTGTCAACACCTAACCACAGTGTCTACACTTCATTGCACTCTAACTGCAATTGCCCAAAAAGAAAGTCCAGCTTCCCGAAGTCCCACTATACGGCCCCTATCAAACTCACTAAGTTGACGAAATCGTACAGGTCTCCGTACTCTAGGCATCGTAACCGATCGTAAAGGATGTCAAGAACCAAAATCCGCCAACGTTGATTCTTCACTGCGGCTGAAATATTCATTTTTAGAGCGTTAGTAAATTAAAAAAAAGCAGTATAAAAACCGGAATGTCCAACTGATAAGGCTGAAAATTTTTTCACTTGTTATTTACAGTAAGATAAATACATTCACCAACTTCTTATTAAAATAAAACCATTTAAACTGGGTGTTTGGATTTATATGCCACTTAGTATAACTTCTTAGATTATTTATACAAATATTATAAAATTTCGGTAGATATGGAATTTAGAATGACGTTATTTCCTTAAATATCAAATGAAGGGTCTTGATTACAGAAACACGAGTAAAATTGTGCAGTATTTGAAATAATTTTTTTACAAATACTTTATGAAAAGTATTTGACAAATACCAAGTACAAATAACACAGAAAATAAAGTGTTTGAAGTAAAGTATTTCAAATACAGTTTTCAAGTAGTACTGACAGCACTGAGCCCTAACAGGTCTCCTAGTTATCCCAATATAAGGCTTATTATTATTACAATCACTGCGCTTATTTCACAATTTCCACACGTTGCTACTTAGTGCTAAATCGCAAAACTGTCGACCACTGCGAATGAGATAAGCAGGTACATGTTGGAACTGTAAAAGTATTTCAGTTGGTGATGAAAAGCTGAGTCTTCACTGTGACCGCCGTCGCATTCCAAATGCCGTTGAATTTGCTTAATTATCATTTTTTTGCTGAGATATTGCACTTTCAAATTTTTATTTTAATGATATTCACTATATTTGATAGTCTACACGTTATGATTACATGTGCATCGAAGTTGTGGTTTGGATCATAATAGACCTAAAATTGAATAACAAGTAATATATTTTTATGAAATACGACGGGCCAACTAAAAAACCCATAAATCCTCACGACTAAATCCATAAAATACCTAAAAAATACCCAAACCATAAGACAACAATCTACTCTACCCCATCAAGGCCAATTGACTTTCGATTGAACAATTTCTACTTTCCACGGGCAAGTATTGTAATCCGGAAAATTTTCGAAATTGAGATATGTTTTTAGATGTTATATGACATGTACATCATGTCACTAATTTCCGTCTATCCGTCTGTCTGCTAATCTTATAACCGCCTATAACTTCAGAAGTACGGCTCGTATATTGATGAAATTTTCATACAATGTTGCTACTATGCCAAGATCGCAAAAGATTTGTAGTTTTTGAAAAGCAGACCAGTGGCGGCAATGAGAAAGGTCAAAAACAAAAAGGAATGAAAGTCGCTCAAACTCCGTTTTTTGACGTTTGGGACGATTTAGATCATTTTTTGAAAAAATTTCAGAGGCAAAAAACTTTGGGTTGGGGGTTATAGGGGAGTGGAGAGGGTTTATCTCAATTTTTTGATGTTGGTAATTCTACGTAGTTATTAGACGTATTTCACACATCATAAAACTTGCGTGAGTCACAGAGTCAACCTACTTAGCGTCATTTTTTAAATAAAAAATTACTTATTGCTGATAAAAGCCGATCTAACTAACAATATCTAAACACTACCCAAACCACAAGCCCTCAACCCACCTTACTCTGTCTAGGCTGAAAGGGAAATATATTTTAAGCAAGCTTAACGGGAAAGGCATATACTTTGAGCCAATATCAATATTTTGCACTTTTAGGTTCAAATATTTTCGGAGAGTAAAGCCAATTGAGAGATTTGGATTATGGATTTGGATTCAGCGCATCAAAAACCTTCTGGAAAATATACTGGTTGATTCTAAACTATCATTTATTTTCTGAATTTTTAGTCTCAAAACGACAACAAACTACTTGTGATCAAGAGTTTTGTTTTCAATATATTATATAACGTTTTCAGAATTTCTAATTTTTCTTTCAAAATTTCCAAATCTTCAAACCATTTACCAAATTTCAGAATTTTCCACTTATCTTAGAAACTGTCAAATCCATTTTTTCCAACTTTCAAAATACATTCCTTTTTTAATTTAATTTTGACTTTCGATTTTTTTTTGTTTCTGGGTCGGCTCTGTTATTATACCTCCGATAAAGGATGCTTTGTACTGTTTTCGTTAGTTCTGCTGCTTGAGACCATGCCTAGATGGTGCTGATGATTGCCAGTAAGCATGAAACAGCTGTGCATATACGATTGGCCCTGTTAATAGGACGAAAGCAGTATGATTATTAGTCATTGAATGCATTTACTTTACAGGCCCATGGAAACAAAGTCGATGACCTCCTTAGGAGACTGAAAGCTGCCGTGGACAAGGCCATGGTGCAAGCTCAGGAACAACTTGACCGATCGAAAGTTCAACTGCAACAACATGCTGCCGAAGATGTAGCTGACGGCAGAGCTCAGATTGAAGTGATCAAGAAGGTAACCAAGAGTTTTTTGAGCATACTAAGATACACACTATACACGAAATACACGGTAAACAGTATACACTGACAACCAAATACCACTAACGTCGTAACGTGTACCTGAGTGCGAGTTCACGGGTGCTATTGGCACACCCTTTCTAAATACATATTGCACGTACACGTTACGACGTCAGCCAAATGAAAACCTCAATTTGAAACTCAGTGCTGACAAAACGAAACTCATGATTTTCTGTTCTGATCACAAACGAGAAAACTTAACGCTCTTTTTGAATGAGCAACTTCACTTCTCAACTAGCTGTAAGATGCTTGGATTGACCATAAATAACAAAAGTTACGTTACCAACAAAACATTAAAACGGTACCTCAGAGGTGTTATTTGGAACAGCGAGTTTGTATACAAATAAGCGCATCATTAACTTCAAGACGAGAAAAAAGCTGGATGAAAGTTTAGTGCTATCGATTATCAGTTATGGCTTGATGGTTTTTCATATATGCCCGGACTATTCAACTCAAAGAATACCTGTTACCGTTTTGCTTGTGATTTCCGTAAATTTGACCTCATCTCTAACAGTTTCAGACTTTTACAATGGCTTAATATCAATTTTCTATTCCAATATTTTTACTTAACAACGCTGAATCGTGTATTACATTCTAAGATCCCTGTATATTTAGTAGAAAAGCTAGATCGAGTATACTTAATGTCGATATAAGATATCAAAACCATCGTCAATGCCTATATGCCTAGGTACGTACAAATGTCATATTTGTATGTCAAATTTGTATTAAACTTCTATTTTCGCATGGCTGAGTGCAATAATAGCTTTTCTAAACTCCGCCAATAAAGCTGTTTATTATTATTATTGTAAATAGTTATTAAACAATAGCGGCATTAGGCAGTTATCAAAAATTTCCTACTTTTTGGCCATTGGACAATCGTAGATTCAAAAGAACTGGAAACCAGAGTCGCCAACTTAAAACAAAACTATTACACAAAACAATTATTCATGTTTGGGTATTCAAACAGTACAACTTCTTCACTTCTCCATTTGACAGACAATATCTTAAATAATATGGATAAACATATTAATACAGTTTCAGTTATGGTCGACTTCTCTAAGGCGTTCGACACTGTTAACCATAAAATTTTGTTGAGTAAGTTAAAGTATATTGGACTTTCTGACATTCCGCTTAAATTTTTTAAAAATCACTTAACTAAATCGTAAACAAAAGGTGAAGACAGGTAGAGGTGTCTCATCTTCTGTTGCCGTTTCTTCAGGGCCAACATCATTTGTAAAAGACACATGTTGAAGATTAATCCGGATAAGAGTACTTGCATACTTTTTTATCCTAAACATTTCCATAATAGAGTAAGGGACAAAATTGCTTTGAGCATCAACAACGAGCCTATTGTGGAACAAGCAAAAAATCTTGGTGTCATCTTCGACGCTAGTTTAAGATTTGACAAACATGTGTGTCATCTATCGAAGTCCACCTACATCAAATTAAGACTGCTATATGCTAATAGATTCATTTTGAACTTTAAAACGCGTAATAAGCTAGTAGAAAATTTGATAATGTCCAGCCTCAACTACGCTTTAACTTTATACTATCCTTGTCTTGATGAGTAGCAAATGGCTAAACTTCGCCCTATTGTTGTGTTGCTAATAAAGACATTTATTATTATTATTATATATAAATATCAATATATCGATAAATTGATGTTTTTTTGTGTTTTGTATAGCTTAATGAGCTAACAGAAAAGGAGCTTTTAGCCAGCGACTGTAAAACTTCGTTATCCTTGTGTCGTAATTAACGGTAACTTTCAGAAGAGTTTTTGTGAGTACCGCCTACCTTCAACATTCAGTTTTCCAACATTTAGTTCCTCCACTATTCGAATTACAAATCTTAAATCATCCAAGCATGCAACAAACTCAAACATATCTAGAAACATCAAATCAATAAAGAAATTTTAATGTGCTGTGAAAATGCCAAAGCAAAAATGGCCATAAGAAATTTGCATACCCATTAAAAGAAGTAATCTTTGTTCAAACGAATCTATATTAAATCGAGAGTCGTGACTATAATTATTTGTATCTAAAGCTCTAAAACATATTCCTTTGTACTGAGATTCATCCCTTATTTGTAAGAACTCTATTTGAAACAATATTACCTCATTTCAAGTAACTGATTTCAAATCAGTGTCATCACCTTGGAAAAGTGAAAATAGCCTTTCAACTATATATATATATATATATATATATATACAGGGTGTCCGCAAAGCTGGGGTTTTCCTTTACACGACGTGTAGATCTTGAAAACATAAGCAATTTTTCTTAGTACCATATACACCAATGTCTTAAGGGAACCGAGATAAAGGGCTCTGCAACATCAAAAATATCTGAATACCGTCCTGTAGCCGCGACATCCCCGAGTGGTACTAGGACACTAGCTCAACCCAACGACAGAACTGGGTCGGGGTCAGTGTGTCAGGTCAGTATGCAACCTTCAACCGACGGTTACGGTCACGCGTGTAGAGGTAATCGCGTAGACGAGAATCCCTCAACAAGCACTAGAGACGTGGCTAGAGAAGTGCAAGTATCAAAAACTAAAGTGTGGCAAACGCTGCGTGAAGAGGGGCTGTATCCGTTTCACGTCCAACGTGTACAAGCCCTTCAACCTGACGATTTTCCAGCAAGAGTGCGGTTTTGTGAGTGGTTGTTGCATCAACATGACAATAATCCGGACTTTTTGAAGTGCATATTGGTGACAGACGAATCTACGTTCACGCGTAATGGGGTGAATAACTTTCGCAACACTCATGTTTGGTCAGTAGAAAATCCGCACGCTGTCCGTCGGGCACATTTTCAACAAACATTTTCGGTGAATGGTGAACGGTATGCTCATTTGTTACCTCTGTTCGTGGTCTGCACCACCCCCTGCGTCTGCTCGGTAGCGCATCAGCTGATTTCATTTTCTGTTGGAGCGGTATGATTTCGGGCAGAGACGTACTTAGCCCTTCTCGTCAACTGGAGAGTGAATACTTTTTTCTTTATTTTTTTTTAACTTGGTCGCCCTCGTTTCACTACACATTACCTCTGTTATTTCAAGGGTAGTTGTTTCTGAAAAGGAAAACCCTAACTTTGCGGACACCCTGTATATATATATATATATATATATATATATATATATATATATGTATATATGAAAAACTCCAGCTTTTAAAATCCAGTCGTCTGCACTCTGTCAACGACGCAAGACAACACATCCAGTCGATTTTAGAAAATCATTAGGAAGAAGTATATCTAACATACATAACAATCAAAATCATGCTCAAACTTTTATGTAGTTTCAATTCCTAGAGCCTTACAAAGAGCGCTGCAAAAAGCAGCTTGAATCATATACCGCTGAAGCTGGGTAAGACATACACACAATGATTACGAATCTGCTTCAGCAAAAAAAATATACACAGTTCCAAGGTCTAAAAGGCAACAATTTCCGCCCTGTGAAATCTGTAGTTTTCAATTTTTTTAACAATTACCAGAAATTAGGCATTCGAGACTAAATAATAAAAAACTATCTAAGAAACGTATGAGAATTCGACCGATGTTCGTAGTTTATACTTAATTTAAGCTAATGAAATCATAAAAGATGCAACAAAAAAACAACAGCTTCTTTGAAAAATTAAAAGTTTTCACTTTCAACTTTCCTTAAAACATAACTTTCTAGCTCTAGACAATTAAAAAGGAATTGAATAGTTTAACTCCATACCTTACTTGTGTTGCTAATAGAATTTGTAGTTTCGGATGTTTTATGCTGATTTAATATAAATTTAATATTAACTTAAAATAATTTTCTCAGGGCTACGTTGATCAACTGGACAAAATAAAGGCTGACAACAAAGACAAAGATATTAGCTCTTGTCTTGGCGAAAATGAAACAAAACTAAATAACCTTGTGACTGACTATGGAATACAGATGGACAACTGCGTGAATGACAAGATCAATGAGGGAACCAAATACGCTCAAGATGCATTAGATCGGGTAAGATAGTACTTATTATATATTAATTTGAGGATGTTTTTCATAGCGCTACACGGCAGTATTAGGGAAAAATAATTTTGTATACATGTAGGGTAATTTCAAAACGGTTAGATGATAATCAGTGAAAAAAAACTCAATTTTATACACATACCTATAGCTCTACTTCCTGTTATAAGTAAGAACAGGAAGTATGGTTTCCAACATCAGCTATCAACAGGCTGCACGGCTGCTTCAGTATAAAAAATAAATATGAATATTATCATACAGGGTGTTCCTCAACGATATGCGAGTATTTAAGGGTGTGACTCTACATGAAAAATTAATGTTAGTTTGCTTTATAAACTGTGGTCCAAAAATGTTTCCTTACAAAACTCGGGGTGTTGAAGTTTTAGGAAAAAATGGAAAGCAATTAATATTTTCAGAACCGCTTCAGATATTTCAGTGATATTTAGTGCGTAGTGAAAGTTAATAAAGTTGCATATTTTTCAATGCAAAAATAATTTTTAACTTTAACAGTGGCGTGCGTACGGGTATTGACTTCAATATTTTTTAAGAAAAAAATGATACACCAAGGGTTTTTTGCTAAATAAAAAATTATTTTTGAATTCCCCGTTCAATTTGAAACAAATGATCTCTCTTGAATTGTTTTCCTTCGATGCGACATTTTTGAGTAAAAAAATAAAAACCGTTCTATTATCCCAGAAAATTAATGTAATAATTGAAGAATGCAATTTAGCAATAAATATCTAGTTGCTCTGGAATATGTCACTGGCTTTTGACATCTGGCAAGACTCTGTTATTCAAATCTGTTCGCTGTGACATCTTTTTCATTTTTTAGTTTTTACAATCTTGTTAAAAATGGTGAATTACTCAAATGCAGAAATGACGGAAATGCATGACGTATATGGCCTTGCAAACGGTAATGGTGAGCAAGCCAGACGGATTTATCACCAGAGATATGCCGATCGTGCTTTGACAGATAGTCGAACCTGTTCTAATATTCATCGTCGTCTTGATTAAACTGGTTCTGTCCGAAAAGGAACATCTGAAGGTAGACCTCAAGTGTGAGAACACCTGAAATTGAGGAAGCAGTGCTGCACGAAATCGAAAAATATCCTGAAACGAGTACGAGGAAGATAGCTAGACACTTAAATATTTGCCATCAAATTGTTTGGAGAATTTTAGTGGATTTTTTGTTATATCCTTACCATATTTTAAGAGTACACGCATTACTACCCATTGATTTTCCAAGGCGTGTGACCTTTTGTCAGTGGTATCTACAAAAAATTACCCAAAATCCGTAATTTGAATCAATGATTCTGTTGACGGACGAAGCTAATTTTTCTCGAAATAATCGTTTGTGGGCAGAAGAAAAACCCTATGCCGTAACCGAAACCCATTTCCAACACCAATTTTCGGTTAACGTATGGGCAGCAATTATTGGCAACCACTTTATTGGCCCATTCTTCTTGCCGGACAGACTTACCTCAATTTTCTTCAACAACAGTTGCCTTTGCTGCTTGATGATGTTCCTTTAGTAATAAGAAACAATATGTGGTACATGCATGATAGTGCACCAGCGCATTTCAGTGTAGCGGTTCGTAATTATTTACAAACTGTTTATCCAAATCATTGGATTGGCCGCGGTGGGTCCCAAGAATGACCACCAAGGTCCCCAGACCTCAAAAGTTTAGATTTCTTTTTGTGGGGCTATCTTAAGACATTAGTGTACACAAGTCCCATTAACACTGTAGAGGAATTAAGAGAAAGTAAAGTTGCAGCTTGTGATAGAATAAAAAACACTCCAGGGATATTTCAACGAGTGCGCAATTCCGTGAGAAGGAGGGCGGAAGCATGCGTACTAAGTGAAGGGGGACATTTTCAACAATTTTTGTAATCATTTCGTTGGTTTTAATGTTATTTTTATGTTGTCAGTTGTTGTTCATTACCCCTAATGGGTTTCATTTTTCCAATTAAATTAATAATAATTTTGCAAGTTAGACAATAGAACGGTTTTTATTTTTTTACTCAAAAATGGCGCACCGAAGGAAAACAATTCAAGAGAGATCATTTGTTTTAAATTGAACGGGGAATTCAAAAATAATTTTTATTTTGCAAAAAACCAATGGCGTGCCATTTTTTTTTCTTAAAAAATATCGAAGTCAATATTCGTACCCACGCCACTGTTAAAGCTAAAAATTATTTTTGCATTGAAAAATATGCAACTTTATAACTTTCACTACGTACTAAATATCAGTGAAATATCTGAAGCGGTTCTGAAAATATTAATTAATTTCCATTTTTTCCTAAAACTTCAACACCCCGAGTTTTTGTAAGAAACATTTTTGGACCATTTTTCATGTAGATTCACACCCTTAAATATTCGCATATCATTAAGGAACACCCTGTATTACTCGTAGCATACTCTTATCATTTTTGGTTTGCTCGTCAAGGTAAGCTCATCCAGTTTTGAAATTTCCCAACCTGTATGTCTATAACTACAAGTATTCTGCCTTTCGCTCTGAAGTCAGAGTTACTGGTCTTTTATGTATTGAAACAAGGGACACACTAGTTTGTTATCAGGAATACGTAAGGAGGAGTCGATACGATTCACCAGGAGTGACATCATTACTTTAAAATATTGTTTCGACGTAAATTCACAGCGAAATAACTTACAAGAGAACAGTGGGAGTCAGGTGTGTAGTGAGGAGTCTAATAAACAAGACGCTGGATGGAATTGATCTTGGAAAATGTGAGAACCGCACTTTATCAACATATATCAACTGTGAAAAGGTTATCCGAATCTTGCCGGACCACTTTTTTTTCAACCACCTCTTAATTACAAAAAAGTTTTTTTAGCACCGACCATTTTTTTTCTGATTCCTCTGGTCATTCTAAACAAGAAAGGTCCTTAGTAACTTTTCTCTAAAGTTAGTCTTTTTCAATCCATAAGCCAATTATGGTCTCCAAAAAACCCTAAAATCGTCATCCCCATCGTCAATGATTAAATACTCTGTGAAAAATCAATGTTTTTAAGGTTGCAAAGTATATAGATTAAATCTAAATCCTCCCCCTATAAGACCCCAAATAGTAATTTAAGATTAATTTAATTGCTAGCGATTTTTAGGCTCGTTCATTAGGCTATAATTGGCGAACTTTTGATTTTTGCACACTGTACACAACACCATTAAATTGGAGGCGAAACCAACGTTTTTCTGCTTCGTTTAATAACCCATCATCCCTTTAATTATGATAAATATAAATTAATTAAAATGAACATTCAAGTCGCTCTATAGCACGTACTCTACCGATTTCCTTTACACTTAAGAGGGGGGGGGGAGCTAAAAGAACGTGGCCGGCGAAGAGGCATGTAGTTGATAAAGGCAGATCGTTAGAGTTTGTACTTTCATTGTGAATCAAATCTACTCAACTTCATGCATTAAAATCGGAAAGTCAGGAAAGTGTCCCTATGTTTTTAGTAATTCAAAAACCAGTCGTACAAACTCTCATAAAGCTTATATCAGAAAAAAAGTTATGAACAGGAGAATAAAAAAGTTTGAATATGTTTAGAAATCGTTCAATTTGCGTTCTTGACCCCCCTCTATAAACTATCAATAAACTGAAAAACGAAGTAGATAGGGAGAAAGTTCAAGGTCACAAAATTCCTCTGACGAAAAATTCAGTATTCTAGCTACAACAGTTCCGGAGGTGCGAGTTATCAAAGTCGAATGTTTTTCGATTGTCCAATACGTAGGACGTAGTCATTGGCGTCAACAACTAGTTAGATGAAAGTATCTTTTTCGGGACCTCAACAAAGCATTGCAAAGTGTACTTTTGAAATTTTGTTCCCAAGCTTTCGATAACCTATGTTATCATCATCAGGAATTACAAATACATGAAATAGCAACTACATTCAATTAGCTGTTCTTAAAGTACTTACAAGTAATTGATAAACCAATAAAAACTGGATCCATGATACTATTTGTTAATAGTATATGTATATACTATTTGTTAAAAGTATCATGGACCCAGCGTTTATCAGTTTACTGTGGGTTCACATCCACTTTTTTAAGAACATTCAGCACTATTCTTAATTACTTTTGCTATTTTTCAAACTTATTTGTAAAGTTTCAAGAGTACACTTTGCATTACTTTGTCGAGCTCACAAAAAAGATTATTCCATCTAACTGCTTGTCCAATATCTCGATTTTAAAATAAAACCCTATAGTATCTTATATCAAATTGCTTCGTTTGAAATGGCCTATCCAAATCTGCTATAAAATGTAGGCCTTTCCATTTAAAAAATGGTTGTTGGCATCACCGAGTAGGAATACAAATATTTTCCAAGTAAGAAGCATACAGGGTTTGTCCGGAAAGTGATAGGACTCATTTCCTTCCGCCATGACTATATTTCCAGTTGTCTCCGAGCACTTGGAGAGTCGGACAGGCATTTTCGCGCGACGTGTTTCTGTGAGTGGTGCAAGCCGAACATGCAGCATTCGTTAGAGCAGAGGTACGCAATTAAATTCTGTGTGAAACTTGGTAAATCTGCGACAGAGACGTTTGATATGATCAAGCAGGCTTACCTAGGTGTTGCTTTAGCAAGAAGTGGTGTGTTTCGGTGGCACCAGGCCTTTTTGGAGGGCCGGGAAGAGGTCGCTGATGAAGACTGTGCTGGAAGACCTTGGACTTCGACAAACACCGATAATGTGACTCGTGTGCGCAAAGTTTTTAACTCAGACCGTCGACTAAGTATTCGTTTAACTGCCCAGATGTTAAATTTACCAAAATCTGTAGCTCATGACATTGTGACACAGCATTTGAACATGCGCAAGGTGTGCGCGAAGATGGTCCCAAAAGTGCTCACTGACGATCAGAAATTGCGGCGATTGGAAGTGTGCCAAGAAAATTTGAACATGTGTGAAAGTAACCCCCAATTTTTAAATCACAGGTGACGAGTCGTGGATCTTTGAGTATGATCCCGAGACAAAGAGGCAATCTTCCGAGTGGCACACGAGGGCGTCTCCTCGCCCAAAAAAGGGAAGAATGAGCAAATCCAAAGTGAAAACGATGCTCATCGTCTTTTTTGACATCAAAGGCATCGTCCAACATGAATTTGTTCCTCCTGGACAAACCGTCAATGCCAAGTTTTACGTGGAAGTGCTCAGGAGACTCAAACGAAGGGTCAGTCGGGTCCGACAAGACATCGCCGTCGCTGGAAGTTGCAACACTACCACGCCCCGGCTCATACCGCCTTTCTTGTGAACAGCTACCTGACCAAGGCCGGCATACCAACGCTTCCGCAGCCGCCCTACAGCCCAGATGTCCCCCCCCCCCCGGACTTTTTTTGTTTCCTCGCCTCAAAAGGCCGATGAAAGGCAAGCATTTTGAGACGACAGAGCGGATCCAAGCAGCATGCACCGCGGCTCTCAAGGCTATTCCGGAGAATGCCTTCCGTGACGCCTTCAATGCTTGGAAATCGCGCTGGCAGCGCTGCATCGACGCAGAAGGAGCCTATTTTAAAAGTTTTTAAAGAATTGTAACGATTGGCTGAATAATTTTTTTTAAATCGACTCAGTCCTATTACTTTCCGGACAAACCCTGTATTGTTGACTACAATTTTTGTGATTAACTTTTTTAGGTACTATGTGTAATAAAGAAGTTATCGGCCAAGCTCGCACTTAAAAATCACCCTGTAGATTAAATTCTTGAACAAATTGCACAAATAAACAATACTGTTATTCCAGGTAAAGAAAATCGTGAGCGACGTCGAGAACATCCGTCAAGAAATCAAGGACTGCGGACATGGCTGGAAAGCTGCGAAATGCATTGCCAAACTGGCCGTACGGATCGAAAAGGAGATTACAAACTTGCCTACGATTATAGAGGGCGACGTTGTAGTCACAGCGGCCAGAATTGCCCAACTGGACCCAAAACTGAAGGGCTGCGCTACTGACAAGGTGAACGAAGCAAGGACACAGGGGCAGACGCTTTTGGACACGATCAAGCAGTGCGTTGCGAATATACATTGAATTGTTGCTAATTAGGATTGATTAAATTGTTTATTGTTTTATAGAAAACGGAATTTGACCTTTCTCCTCCCCGACGGTTCATCTTCTGTGGTCAAACGTAAATGAGGGCTATGATGCCAAACTTTTTAAACCCAGAACAAGAGTTCAACTTAATCTTAGGGAATGCGCTACTGTTTCAGGTAGATGTGGATAGGATATCCCACAAAAGATTTATGGTTTCTAAATTGACTTGAATAATACCACACATTCTGTGAAAAATGTTTTTTTTTAATATGAAGCAGATTTGATTTTTTAAAGAATACGTCATAGAATCTGTTTATTGCATTTTGCTAAGCACGCTGAAAGCTAACAGCTTCAATATTTTGACTTCCTACGGCACTGGGCGAGGAAGTATTGCAGTCGCGAAAAATTTCGAAAATGAGTTATTTTGGTTTTTGGGTGTTATATAACATGTACATCACGAAAAAATATGTCACTCATTTCCGTAGGTCTTTCTGTCGGTCTGTCTGTCCGCTAATCCTTGGACCTCCTCTAACTTGGGAAGTACCGCTCGGCGTTGGATGGTCACCATTATGCCAAAGACGAAAAAACTTTGTTGCTTCTGAAAATCGGTGCAATGGCGGCGGAGTGGGGGTTTTTGATATTTGAGAGGCTCCCGATCATTTGCCAAACAAAAATTGTAGTGGCATTCCATCTCCAAAATGGCATATGTCCTCCATCAACTTTTTTTTTTGAACAGCCGAATAGACATTTTAATTCTGATTCTAAAACTGAGTAATCTCATAAATTGACAATGCCAAACCTCAGTGATTTCAAAAAACAGAATTGCCTATGTAGGCTTTGAAATCATCAGATTGTCATTTGTTTCATATCATCATCGAACCATTCCTTCAGTTTTTATGAACTAGGCATATGTGAATAGCCCCTATTTCCGGTTTTAACGATGTTTTGATGATGAGATAAATATCATGACATGAAAATATTTAAAGCCTCAAATGTCTTCCTATAGTTGGTCGTAACTCATCAAATAAGCAACAATATAATGCTAAAACTTTTATATTATGTAAGGGTGGTATTGAAAACAGTATTACTTTATATAAATGATAAAAAGCTCTTGGGAATAAATAAAAGCCTCGACGATGAGGCAACTTCCTAAACATATTTTATATCTGCCATATCTAAACCGATGCACACATCTTACATTCAAATGCTATTAATCTGCGGCTGAGGTGTCATATTTGTTTGTTTGTTTCAGATTTATTTAGCATTAATGCTACATAATGTCCATAATATCCATATTACACAATTTCCCTTTGAACATTTTCAAACTGACACACATCTTGATGTCATTACTTAACTTATTAAATTCGTACAATCCCTTTTGAAATACTGACTTGCTCGTTATATTGCTACTGCAGTTTTGTAAATGAAAGTCTATACTTCCTCTAGTAGAATAATTGTGGCACTCATTGTTCAATACAATAAAATTTTATAAGTGATTTGGTAGAAGATGATTTTTCAACTTCACTATGAACATGAAAACCAAGTAGGCTATGAAATTTTTGATATTTAACCATTGTAGTTCTTTCAGCATAAAATTTATTCTAGTATATTTACTTTTATTTAAGATGATTCCCATAGCTTTATTTTGTAATATTTGTAATTTTGAAAATACAGTTTCATTTGCAGTGAACAAAATAGTCGAACAATATAACAAATGAGGAAGAATGATAGTGTTGTACATATTTTTTTAGAATAAACGCTTAGGCTATGCGAAATTGTATAAAAGTAAATTATTTTCTTGGGTATTTTTGAAATAATATATTCATAGTGCCCTAAAAAATTTTAATTTATTGTCGACGTATATGCGTAAATATTTAAATGATTCGATTGACACATTTCATGATTAATTGTAAGATTTATCGTATTTTGATCTAAAGATTTTCCTATTAGCATATATTTTGTTTTGTTTGTGTTTAAGTTTATTTACATTTAACCAATTTATTACGTTTTTCATATCATTATTTAACAGCTCTATTGCAGTTTCAATGTGTTTATTTGATATATATATCAGGAGTATCGTTAATATATAAAATACGAGTAAATAGTAATGGACCAAATTTGCTACCCTGTGGCACACCTACCGAAATGTTTTTAATGTTTGATAATGTATTGCCAATTTTAGTTCTTTGACTTCTATTGATTAAATAATTTTGTAATAAGTTGAATAGTGAACCTTGAAATCCATAGCAATGCAATTTCGTTAACAATTTCTCCCTGTCAATAGTCTCAAATGCTCTCTTGAAATCTAAGAATAATGTTACTGTAAACTTTTGTTCATCCATATTTCGGCTCCATTCTTCTACTACCATTTGAATTGCTGTTTCAGTAGAAAACTTTTTTCTGAATCCTGCTTGAAATTTTGTCAATATCTTATTTTCTTCAATATATTCAATGACTTGTTTATAACAGGTGGGCTGAAAATTCCGTATCGTTTCAATGAAAAAATATTTTTTTCGTCAAAATTCGCTTTTATTATTCAACATAGTTGCCTTCAAGGGCTATACAGCGATTATAACGTTCTTCAAGTTTTTCGATACCCTTCCGGTAGTAATCCTTCGGCTTGTCCTCAAAATAGGCTTCAGTTTCGGCGATGATTTCTTCGTTGCTGTGAAATTTTTTTCCGGTGAGCATTCTCTTAAGGTCTGAGAAGAGGAAATAGTCGCTTGGAGCAAGGTCCGGAGAATACGGTGGATGGGGGAGCAAATCGAAGCCCAATTCATGCAATTTCGACATCGTTTTCATGGACTTGTGGCACGGCGCATTGTCCTGGTGAAACAAGATTTTTTTTTCTTCATTTGTGGCCGTTTCTTGGCGATTTCGGCCTTCAAACGCTCCAGTAACACTATATAATAGTCGCTGTTGATAGTTTGGCCCTTTTGAAGATAGTCGATGAAAATAATTCCTTGCACGTCCCAGAAAACAGAGGCCATAACCTTGCCTGCTGACTGTTGCGTCTTTCCACGTTTCGGAGGTGGTTCGGATGCAGCCGTCCACTCGGCCGACTGGCGATTTGACTCCGGTTTGTAGTGGTGGAGCCATGTTTCATCCATGGTGACGTATCGGCGAAAAAAATCGGTTTTATTGCGCAAAATCACCTCCAAACAGGCCTCAGAGTCGTCGATGCGTTGTTGCTTTTGGTCAAATGTGAGATTGCGCGGCACCCATTTCGCACAGAGCTTTCGCATATCCAAATATTCATGAATGATGTGACTGACACGTTCTTTTGATATGTTTAAGGCCTCAGCTATGTCAATCAACCGTATTTTGCGGTCTCCCAAAATTATTTTGTGGATTTTTTTCACGTTTTCGTCCGTAACGACCTCTTTTGGGCGTCCACTGCGTGCGTCGTCTTCAGTTGACATGTGACCGGTACGAAATTTAGCAAACCACTTGCGAATGGTTGCTTCGCCCGGGGCAGAGTCCGGATAACACTCATCAAGCCATTTCTTGCATTCGACGGCACTTTTTTTCATCAAAAAATAATGTTTCATTAACACACGAAACTCTTGACTTTCCATGGTTTTCAAAAATAACAAAAGTAGCGTCACTCTCGATACGATAACTCAAAAACTAATGATCCGACAGCTGTCAAATTTTGACAGGCATCTTTTGAAGGTTGGTACTAGCTAAGAAGCGTATGGATTTTATTCTGGTGGCGCCATCTCATAGAAACGACACGGACTTTTCAGCCCACCTGTTATATGATTCCTTCTAAGAGCTTCTCGACATCTGGCAGCACATTAATTGGCCGCATGTTTGTATATAACTCAGAATTTTGCACTTTTGGAACAGGACTAATTGTAGAACATTTTAATTTTGAAGGAAATTCGCCACACACTAAACAGTGATTCACTAACAATAATAACTTCTCTCCTATAATGTTGAAACACTCATTCATAACCATTTTTGAAAGATGTTCACTAGGATTTCTATTCGATTTCAATCTTGTAATAGCTTTTGAAAGATAGCTGATATTTATTGTTTAGAATTTTATCATAGAACAACTACAAGTAACTTGCGTGTGACATAGATTTGAATCCCCATCTTCGATTGATTCCACTATCTCGTTTATACTTTCTATAAAATAAGCGTTCATTCGTTCTGCAATCAATATTTTTTGTGTTACTATACCATCTTCGAAGCACATTCTTGATAACTCATTCTTCATACTGAGAGATACAATATTTTTTAGTGTCTTCCACATCATTTTACTGTTATTTTTATTGCTATCGATTTTGTTTCCATAATATTTTTTCTTTTCGTTCCTAAGATTTGTTAAGCACTTGTTTGTTGATTTCTTATATTGTATCCAATCTTCCTCAGTTTGGGTGATCATAAAATTTGTATAGTCATTATAACGCGTCAATTTAAAGTCTAGAAATATTTTTGTTGGCTTTTTCCTTTGATATACCACTTTCCTAATTTGTGCGTCTCTCATGCAGTTCTCCATAGAATCCATAATTTTTGAGAAGTAAGTGTCAGCATCATTAAAAATTTCAGTGATATTGGCTTTTAAGAGTGACTCTCGTAACGTTTCAAAGTCAATAATTGTGATTTCTCTTGATTCTCTCTCATTAAATATACAGGGTGTTTCAGTTTATTGTTGCATAACTTATCTCAAAAACGGCTAACTATAACGAAAACTCACAGGAGAGCTTTTATATGTTGAAAAGTGCGAAGAATCAGTTTTTTTATTCAAAAAGCAAAAAATTGCACTAAGAAAAATTTTTCGGTCATTTTAATACACTACAGGTACAGTAGAGAGCGCCCTCTAGCGGCTACAGTAAAACTATGCCCATGGTTCGTTTTGTCGTACCAAAAAACCCTTGTATATCAATTTTCACTGTTATACATCAAATATTGTTCGAAATATTTAAAAAAAAACTATTTTAGAAAGTAAATTTAAACACCCTGTATTTCGGAAGCCACGCATTTTTCGACCCATGTTTATATAGACTTTATGCACTAATTTTAAAAGTTCTATCGAATCTTAGAGTTATGCAACAATAAACTGAAACACCCTATTTTCCTCCTCGAAACATATCCACGAATGGTCGCTTATTTTCGGAGTATGTAAAACCTTAATACTCAAATTCTGTTCATTGGTTATTATTAAATCGACCTTAGTTCGTGAAAAGTTTGTAATCCTTGTGTAGTCATTAACTTTTTGCCATAGACCATGAAAGTTCAGTACTTGTTTGAAGTTTTTTACATAAAAATCTTGATTATCAAAATTTATATTGAAGTCTCCCAAGTGCACAATGGAGCAATTTCGATAATATTGTTTTTCACAAACACTCTCGAAAAAGTCCAAAAATCGGCTTGGAGATCTGTAGTAAACGTGTACATGTAATTGTGTTTCATCTTCATTTCAAAATTAATAAACCACCATTGATAATCAACAACTACAGCATTATGTGTTTTTACTTCAATCATACTCAGTTTATATTTTATTATGCCCCCTGTATGTTTCGAAACTGTGTTTACT